TTAACTTTGAACGTGACCGCCGTTGGACGTAATCCTTCAACCCTCGATTGCACCCCATCGGCGCGCCAGATGGGAACATGTTCTCGTGTGAATGTGCATGTGCAGTTTTGTTTGCTTGTTTGCAAGCTTTGGGAAATTATGGGGGGCAGATCACTTTGACCGTCTTGAAGCTGTCCTCTCCACTGCTCGTGCAAACATCCCACCCACCCACCCGCAACTTGGTTTTGCAAAACCATGCGGGACCGAGCACTGATGTCGCTCCGGGGTCGTCTTGGAGCCCACGGGGGCGTCTCAAGAGCGCCCCAAGAAGGCTGGAGAAGCAAGACGGCCGACGACGACGACGACGACGACGGCGGCGACGACGACGACGCCGACGTCGACGACGACGAAGACGACGACGCCGACGCCGACGACGACGACGAAGACGACAACGACGTCGCCAACAAAGACGACGACGAGGGAGGAGGAAGGACGACGACGGCGACAACGACGACAACGACGACAACGAGGGAGGAGGGAGGACGGCGACGACGCGAACGACGAAGGAGGAAGGACGGCGACGCCGACGACGACAACGACGAGGGAGGAGGGAAGACGACGACGAGACGACGACGACGACGACGACGATGGCGACGAAATAGGAGGGACGACGACGAGACGCCAACGACGGACGACGACGACGACGAGGGAGGAGGAGGAAGGACGACCACGGCGACAACGACGACGGAAACGACCACGACGCCAAAGAGGACGACGACAACGAACACGAGAAAAGACACAGGACGACGTAGGCGACGACGACGACGACGACGCGGGAAGGAGGAGGACGGCGACGACGACGACGACAACGACGTAAGAGCGCGCGCGCACGCTTTTGTTGAAAAACCGTGTTGCGAAACCTTGTGTTTTTGTAGGTTTCTTGGACGCGCAAATTTTGACATCCTTCCGAAACCGATGGGTTTTGAAGGATTTCGGCATACACGCGCGACGACGCGCGCGTCTGCACTTCGTCCCATTTTTTGCAGAGGATTCTCGCGACGGCACACGCGCAAGGGCGTTCGACAGATTTGGACATGCGCGCGCGCGACGCCCGTTTGGTAGCATCTTGTGAAAATCTTGAAAAACCTATGGTTTTCTTAAGATTTCGCAAGAGCTCGCGCATAAGCTTTTTGAGCAAATCAATGTTGCGAAACCCTGCGTTTTTGTATGTTTATTGAAAAATCGATTGCGAAATCCTTCCGGCACCGAAGGTTTTTGAAGGATTTCGGCATGCGCGCGCGACGACGCGCGCGTGTGCACTTCGTCCCGTCTTTTGCAAGGGATTCGTGAACAAGTGTTATGTTAGAGCAAAAGAAAGCACCGTATAGTGTTTTTTTTACAAGGGAACCTCAGGGGCGGGAACCCGGCCCCCCGGGGATAGTGTAAATTAATATTTAGGATGGACATGTGGCCATAATCATATATGATTTACATACCCGAAAGGGGGGGCGATAACGCCGAAGGGGGGGGTAGAGTCTATTCTGTTTTTAGAAAGGAGAATAAAAGGAATGACTGGATGCATAGCGCGTGGAGTCCTACCCGAGGCTTTCCGACTCTGGAGGTAGAGAAGGGAGGGGACGGGCAAGTAGACGGAGGGAACGAAGAGTGCTGACTCCCGCTTCTGCGCGCGGGGCGCGTCCCTTTTCAGCGCGGCGGCTGGGGAGAGTGGGGACGATCTGAAGGAGTCAAGGAGCACGAGCAGCACAAGGCGGTGCCAACTAGAGCGTGGCACACAGCACCGCCAGGCCCGCGCACATCACCGGGATCATCACGGTGAAACCCCGTAGCGCGATTGCCCCGTCGTGGAGCTCCACCCCGTGGTTGCGCGCGATGCGGACCCACATCTGCCCGCCCATCGTGCCCATGCGCGTAAGGTTCCCGCAGAAGTTCGACCCGAGCACGAGCGCGTAGAGGGCCAAATTCTTCGCGTGCAGAGCCTGCTCGTTGCCTTCCAACTCCCCCTGGCGCCAACCGGGCACGTGCATAACCACCTGCAGCATGAGTCCGCTAACGCGCTTACAGCGGTGTGTGTGTGTGTGCCATGGGTTCTAGTTTCCTCATTTTCTCTCGCTTCTTGCGCAATTCATTCTTGGCCCCCCCCGAAGCATCGGCCCAAACATGCCTCCAACTTGGTATGTAAGGCCCGTCTTTTTTGGGAATTTTCCCAAAAAAGAAAATGTCAGATCGATCCTGCATCGAATCGGAACATCGCAATCGCATCGCCTAGAACCCAGCCGCTGCGACTCGCCAGTGAAGCGAATCGGGAACCATATCGCGAACGTTTCAAATCGAAACGCGAGCCAGATCGGAGCGGGTTAAACCACATCGCGGACCAGATCGCGCGAGCGGGTCCAAGCGAAGCAGCAGGAGGACGGCACTCGAGGGCGAACGAGGCGGAAGGATGAGGAAGAGGCGGGAAGGAGGAGGAAGCGGTAAGGGGAGGAAGGGGCAGAAACAGGAGCAAGAACAGAAAGGGGCCCCCCCCACTCTTCCCCTGGGCACCCTCTCCCCCCCCCCCTCCGGGACAACATCCCCGCCCGCCCTCCGGGAGACCCCCACCCCTGGGCACCCTTCACCCGGGGTCTCTCTTCGGCCCCCCCGCCCCCCGTGGACCCCCCACTCTCCCTTGGGCAGCTCCCCGGGCCCCCTCGCGACGGCCGCTCTGGCATCCGCAAGTCGCGGCAGGACTGCGGTGCTGAACTGCGGGGGCGTCTCAGGCGAGCGCGCCCTTCCTGGGGCTCGGGCCCTCTCTTGCCAGGGCCTCTCGGAGTAACTTGCCAGGAGGTGTCGCACGGGATCGTTGATGCTGTTCTCCTCCCCCTGGGCGCCCCTCTTGGGCCTCCTCCACCGGCCCTTGCCCCTCCTCCCCCCATGGGCACTCCCCGCGGGCACTGCCCCCCTGGGCGCTGCCCCCGCGGGCCACCCCTGCGGGCATCCCCCCTATGGGCACGCCCCTCGGGCAGGACGAAGAGCGCCTCCTCCTCCTCCTCCTCCTCCTCCTCCTCCTCCTTCTGCTACTCCTGCTGCTGCTCCTGCTCCTCCTCCTGCTCCTCCTCCTCCTCCGTTTGAGGCTGCTGACTCGAGTCTGAAATCGCATCGGGCCGTCGCCCCCCACTTTTGGGCCGGGCCATCCTCGAGTCGCCTGGCCTCCGCATCGAGATCGCAGTCAGATCCGTGCTGGAAGCTCCGGGAGCCGAGACGGCAGCCGCAGCGGTTCGATCTCCCGAGCTCGATCGACCCAGATCGAGTCGTGGGCGGCGAAGCCCAACTCAAAATAAACAGACGGGGGCTCCATGGCCCTTGACCTCCCCTCGCAGACCTGCAGTGGATCAGAAGGCATCACACGCCCCGTCGTACTCTCCCGACGACGGCCACATGAGCCCAAAACGGCCCAGCATGCTTTCGAAGCGTGTCGCGAGGTCCCCAAGATGCCCAGAGATGGCCCCGACATGACCCCCGAGAGAGCCCCCAGAGGCAACACTACGTATATTTCTCGATTCTATCTGTTATGTCAAATTGACAATAGACATGTTTTTTTTGGTACTTGCTTGCATATATCAGCTTCTTCTCGCGTTTTCGAGCTTGAGGACGCCCAGGACGGTCCAACAAGCCCCCAAGCACAAGAGGCAACCCAAAGGGCTCCAGGACGGTCCGATAGGGCTCCAGGACTGCCCAAGAGGCCTCGTGGACGGCCCAAGAGGCTCACAAGTAGGGCCCTACGAAGGGGCCCTAACTGGGGAAACATAATTGACCTTGGGTGCCTCTGCCCCCAAGACTTGGCGGCGCGCACAAGAGGGTGGCGCGAGGGGGGTTGCCTGCTCAGAAGGAAACGGGGCTTCTTACAAGGCGGGGGCGTTCTCAGAAGCGCCCAGAGGCCTCTAAGAACGCTCCTTCTCGCCATCGCTCGGACGGCCATTTCCCCGTGCATTCTTCGACTTCGTGCATGGATTTTTCGGAAGATGATCCAGGACGAAAGCACACGTCCCAGCGATGCCAAGTCCTTAGACACCTCTAGGGCCTTATACGAAGGCCCCTGCCTTCTTAGAAGGCCCGCCCCCTCTCTGCGCCACCCTCTCGTGAGCGCCGAGAGATAGCCTCAAGAGGCACGCATCACACCCCCCAAGACGCCATTCAGAAACCTCCACGGGGCTTCCACGGGGCCCCAAGAGGTTCCAGAACATCCTGACTGATGCTGCCTGCAGTCAACTCGGGCACCAGGTCGACGCAGCTGGCTTCGCGCTCCCCCCGCTCGACTGCGAGCGACTTTACTTTCTTGGCAACGGCCCGCGCAACCTGCATCTATCAGTTCACTTGACGCGCCGACCAGGCAATTAGCTAACCAAGTGGGCAGCCAGGCAACCAACCGACCGACCCGACGACCAACCAGCCGACCAACCAACCAATCAACCAACCAACCAACCAACCACCCAGCCAATCAGCCGCCCAAACACCCAACCCAGCCAACCACCCAGCCAATCAGCTGCCCAAACATCCAACCCAGCCAACCAACCAGCCAATCACCCAACCAACCAACCAACCAGCCGGGGAACCCACCGACCAACACACAGGCCCCCCAATCGGCCACAGAGGCCCCGGACCGACAAGCGCCCGAGAACGGTCCAGAGACGGCCCCTCGACTTCCAGGAGCCCTCACCAAGTGGCCCGGACTCCCTTAAGAGATCGCAGGCCAGCTCCGCATCTGGACCATCTGACTTCGTGCATCGCGCCTCGCGACACGCGATCGCCTTCGCGTTCTCGCGCCCCCGCGCGGCCGCTGTGTTAACGGGCATCTGCTTCGGCCCAGGCCGCGACGCGCGAAGCGCGATGATCTTCGCGCCCCCTGCGGGTGGCCCAGCACACGAGGCAGCGCGAGCACCATGCGACGCCGCGGTCGCGCCTTGACGCGGCCTTGCTGCACAACTTCCCCGGGGCACGGACGCGGACACGCGCGGCGGCGCGGCTGGATATCGTCATGGGCACCGAGCTCACGGCTTGCGCCGCGAGAAGCGCCAAGAATCCGATCGCCCCGGCGGCCAGGAAGGGGCTGTTCGCCAGAGGCGCGAGGTCCCGCGCGAGCACGTCCACCACCCCCGCGTGCAGTAGCTGCTGCACCAGCACGAAGAGGGCCAGGTAGAAGAAAAACATGTCGAAAGGCACGGCCTGCAGCACCTGCATCGTGAACGAGCGGGCGTCGTCGAGCCCCATGGCGTCCATGGCCAGGTCCATGGCCAGCGATGCCCCAGCGAACGTGCCCATCGTGAGCCATATTGGCCAGTGGTGCAGGCCGTCCAAGGAAGCCCACACGAAGACGAAGCCGAATCGAGCGGCACAGATGCGTGCGCGCAGGCGGTACTGGACGATGCCCATGGTGTTCATACGCTGCAGGGGCAGCTCTGCGGCGCCCTGGGTTCTGGCCACCGCCTCTTGCGAGGCAGCCTGCAGCGAGGAGGAGAACGTGGCCCAGAGCAACACCATCGACGTCGCCCCCGCGGCCGCGCCCGGCTTGATCATGCTGGCCGCGAAGCTCAGGAAACCCTTGTGCGTGACGTCGGCCACTATCACGTTGGTGATGTTGCCCGTGACGAGGGTCACCGCCCAGATGTTGGCGTTGTAGAAGATCGCGTGAAGGTAAGGCTTGGCATCCAGCCGAAGCTCCGCGCACAAGGCGCAGACCGTGGGTGCCAAGGTCATGGTCACGACGTCATCTGGGATCAGGCACGTCAAGGCCGCCGCCAGAGAGGCCAGCGCGAAGAAGAGCAGGGTGGGGGAATCTCCGAAGGTCTTCGTCATCTGGTGCGCGAAGGCGTCCAGCCCGCCAGTGACCTCCAGGGAGGTGCACATGTACACGGAGCTGGCGAACGTGACCAGCATGGTCCACGGCAAGATGTCGACGCCCTGTTGCCCCATGATGCCCGTCCACACCACGCTAAAGGGCATGGCGCGCGTGGCCAGCAGCCAGAAGATGCACAGCCAGGGCACGGTCGCCATGTTGAATCGCACGGCCCCCCCCGCGAACTCCACGGGGCGCATGGTGAAGAGCACGCCCAGGCCGACGGCGCAGATGGACAGTGGGGCGAGCTGGCCGGTGGCCCAGTACACGACGCTGAACACGGCGAGGAGGGCCCAGCCGGCCACCACGGCCACCCAACGCGCCAAGCGCGGGTCGCTCATGTCGCCGGAGCTGTCCCTCTCCTCGAGCTCCTCCAAATCGGCCGCCTTCTTGGCGGAGTCGTCCTGGGCGCCAGCCTGGCTCCGCAGCCTCGCGGCCGTGAGCTCCGTCGCCGCCGCGAGGACCGCCACCGAGGCCAAGGCTGCGGAGCAGAGCCACTTGCCCAGCGCGTCGATGTCGTCGACGTCTGGGCCGGCCGTTCGCGTGGCTGCGGCCGCCGCCAGCGCCTCGGCATCCAGCAGGGCAGCGTGGCCCGCGGGGACCAGGATCATGCTGTTGGCAGGGGATGGAGGAGCTCCAGGGGTTATGTATATTATGTCAGATCATTGGAATCTTCAGTGTCATTGGAGCGTGAGTGATGGCACTCCACGCTCGAGCCAGAGAGGATGCGGAGAGCAGGATCAGGATGATAATGAGAGGGGGGGAAGTTGTAACACCTGAGCACGAGCAGCATAATCATGTTTCGGCAGCAGGAAGGGCAACTCTGCTCTGCACCCCTGCGCTGGACTTCCCAAAGGCTGTCGAGCCAATCTCGCGCTAATCGTCGTCGCCGTCGTCTTCTTCCTCCTCACACACCTCCTGCTTATCCTTTGTCTTATCCCTCTCCTCATCCTGCCTGCACCCCCTTGGTCGCCCACGTGGAAACACGATGCTATGTTCAGCGACTGCATCGCGCGAAGCAATCCTCGAAGCATCCCGAGAAAACGAATTATCGTCGCCGCCGTCGTCGACGCCGACGTCCGCGCGAACCTGCCCGGCACGAACAAAATATGCGACGCCGGGCGCTCAGGGGCCGGCCATGAGCTGCCCCCAAAGCAACCCTTCTTCTTCTTCCTCCTCCTCCTCCTCCTCCTCCTCCTCCTCCTCCTCCTCTCTGGCTCCCTGGCGTGCGCTCGCGCTCCCTGGCCACGCCGGGGCCTGGCCGAGCCGCCGGCCGCCAGACATCTCGGCCTGGGAACGACTCGGGGGGGGTCTGCGGCCTGCGCTGGAGTGGCCCCCAGGCAGTCGGTCCAGAGCGGGGGCACGGGCAAATCCATTCAAAATCTGTCCCTGCCGGCTCTGACTGCAACAGGATGTCTGATGTCCTCGAAGCAGTAAAGAAGGAAGACACTATAGTTGAAAGAAGGCGCCGACAAGCGCATACTTGTTGAGAGGATGCAAAACATGCAATCCCTTGTTGTCGCTGATGCACAAGATGCAATCCAGTCAAAATCTGTCCCGGACGAGAGGCCTCATCGATGGGGTCGGAGTAGATGGGGTCGGAGGATCGCGCCGCATCGCCAATACATCAGCGATGCATCGGCGATGCATCGGCGATGCACTGGCGATGCACTGGCGATGCATCGTCGACGTCGGCGATGCATCGTCGACGTCGAGGTATAGCACATCGGGCTGCACATCAAGCCGCATCGGCGATGCATCGGCGATGCGGCGCGATCCTCCGACCCCATCTACTCCGACCCCATCTAGGGGGCCTAAATGGACCCCTCCTGGGGTCGAAACTGTCAGTTCTTCGAGCCGCGTCCAGCCGTGGCGACGAGGGGGTCCCTGTCCTTGCTGGCCAGAGCCCGCGCTGGGCCACCCCTGGAGGACAGGACACAGGCACGAACAGACACTTCTGGAGCTCTGCGCGGCACTCCTGGATCTGCGCTGGGCCGCTCCCGGCGGCGCCTCCAGGGCCGCTCCTGGCGCGCGGAGCGCGCCAGGGAGGGGGGTCCAGCGCGGATCTAAGAAAGCTGCGAGGAGCTCCCGAAGACTATGGTTATGCATTTCGTTTTTGTTATCGTCGTCGTCGTCGTTATTGTTGTTGTTGTTGTTGTTGTTGTTGTTGTTGTTGTTGTTGTTGTTGCTGTTGAACCCTCATTACTGAAGACTACTTTTCATGCTGATCCCCTCCTCCAATAACGTATTTGTTTTTTTTTCAATTGAAGTAACCTTCCCGGGACTCGCACCGTGGTTCTTATCAGAGAACATCTTCCTCCTCAAACTGCGCTGTTGGCCCTCGAGCTACAACAACAACGGCTCCCGCCTGATATTTCCTCACAAACTATTCCCAAATCGCGCTCTCGCGCAGGACTTCCTCGCAATTGATTCAGGAATTGCGCTCTCGCGTGTGACTTCCTCGGAATTTATTCAGACGCCGCGCCCTCGACATTCAGGAGTCACGCTCTCGCTGTGGATTTCCGCACGATTGATTTGGGAATCGAGCTGTCGCTCGAGACTTCCTCGCGATTCATGCAAGACGAACGGTTCAGCAACCCGCCTGCTCGACCTGGCCGCCTGGGCCTTCCTTCCCGACCCGCCTGGTAGGGTCTACCCGCCCGATCTGCCCGTCTGGTTCTGTCACGTGTTTTCTGCTCCTAGCCCCCCTTCTCCTAGTCTCTCTCGTGCTCCATCCTCCTCCCTCCCCCTTGTCCCTTCCTTCCATCCGTCCTATCTTCCCCTGTCTCAGGGGCGTTGCAGGGAAGAAAAATATATCCCCAAAAGGGTACGGTCGAAGACGAATAGTGCGGGTATCGAGGGGTCCGGATATACTTGTTGAGCGGCACGCCAGCAGATAAGGGCGAACAGTCTTAACATTGTTGTTGTTGTTGTTGCTGTTGCTGTTGCTGTTGTTGCTGTTGTTGCTGTTGCTGTTGCTGTTGCTGTTGTTGTTGTTGTTGTCGTTGTTGTTGTTGTTGTTGTTGTGTTCGAACCTCGGCCCCCCAGCTGGCCAGAACGCTCGACGCCTTCCCGAGGTCAAGTCCCTCGTCCCGAACCGCTTCCCGACGGCGGGCCCCGACAAGCCGGCCCTGGGGGGCCGAGGATGGCGAAGCAGCGGCTGCCTCGATTTCTTCGGGCCGCCTACATTGACGGGGGCCCAGGGACATACAAATAAACACTCACACAAATCCCAGGGTTCCCATGTTTTCCCACATCTTCTGGGTTTTCGTCTCTCCCCCACTGTCTATTTTCCAGGGGATCGACGATGGATAGCGTCTGTGTTTTTCCCCTTCCGGAAATTATATGTCCGGGCCCCCAGACCCGTCTTGGCGTGCGCCCTGGCGAACAAACTCTGCGGTGGATCCAGCCGTGGCGAGGATCGAGGAAGAAACAGCTGCACAAACATAAACCTTCGGAGATCCGCGCGGCCTTCTTGGATCGGCGCTGGACCCCCCTCCTTGGCGCGCGGAGCCCGCCGAGGCCGGCGCCGGAGGTCTGCTTGGGAGGCCCAGCGCCGATCCAAGAGATCTGCGCGGAAGTTCGGGCGTTTGCGTGAATGACCTCCCCCTCCTCCTCCTCGTCCTCCTCGTCCTCCTCCTCCTCCTCCTCCTCCTCCTCCTCCTCCTCCTCCTCCTCCTCCTCCTCCTCCCCCTCCTCCCCCTCCTCCTCCTCCTCCTCCTCCTCCTCCTCCTCCTCGTTTTGCTCGTCGAGGGGAGCGCAGCCTGCCAGAGGCCCAGCCAGGGCCGGAAGAGCGCCCCCGAGCCTCGACCTCGGCCCTGGCCGCCTCGACCGTCGTGGAGTCTGCGTCTGGCGCGCCTGGCGTGGCAACGCCAGAGGCCTCTCATGGAGGTCCCGGGAGGTCCCCAGATGCCTGGCTCTGACACGAAGGCCCCGCCCCCAGACGCCCGACGTCTTGGTTATATGTTTCGACACGCGGCCTCCCCGAAGTCCTGACCCTTTCCCGCAGGGCCTGCTTCTGACCCCGATCCGTTCCTTGACGGCCACGGGGCCTAGCGAGGGCCCCCCCCAGGGGCCGAACACGGCCAAAAACCTCCAGTCTTTTTTGTTTGTTTGTTTGTTCTCTCTCTCTCTCTCGCTCTCTTTTCTCCGAGACGCGAGCATGTTTGGGTCCGAAGGCCCTATCGAAGGCCTCTTCGAGGGCCCTGCGAGCGCCGCCTCGCGTGCGGCGGGCCAGCGGGCCTGGCGGGCCATCGCCGCCTCGCGCGCGGCGAGCTGCTGGCGCATGGTGGCGAGCTGCTCCTGGGGGGGGGTGACGGTCAGGGGGGTCTGGCTCAGGTGGGAAGCGTTGAGATTGAATCGATGATGCATCTGGTAAGGCTTCGGGTTGCGAGCAGGCAGCCCGCCCAAGTAGTCTCGGCTGGCCTCAACATACCCCCGAGTAGTCCAGGCCGGTCTCAACACCTCAACCAACCCTTGGGCACAGAGCGCCCCAAGGGCGCCTCCGGAGGCGGCGTCCGTGTGTTGAGACCGCTGGCTGGGGGGGGGACGATAAGGGGGGTCTGGCTCATGGGGAGACCCAGACCTCCTCGCGTGGTGACATGAACTGGGCACTGCCTCGGTTTGGGAGAAGGCTTCATGCGCAAGCACGAATGACTAAACCAGGACGAAGGAAGACCACGCGATGCCCGAAGGGAAGTCTACGCTAGGCCCAAGGAACCAAGGATTCAAGACCAAGGAGCCAAGACCAAGGAACCATGGAACCATGGAACCAAGACCCAGGAACCGAGACACCAATGCCAAGGAGGCTTGGAACTAGGACCAAAGACCCGAGGAGCCAGGACCATGGAACCCAAACCAAGGAACCGAGACCAAGGAGAGGAACCAAGACCAAAGAACCAAAGAACGCAGACCAAAGAGACCGGGAAATGCCACGTTAAGGAACCAAGACCAAAGAACCCCGAAGAACCCCCGTGTACGGAAACAGTGCCGAAGAACCTCCAGGACCCGCCTGGCGCGATTGGGAACCCCTGAGGCAACGCCTAATAACTGGGGACAAAGGACGACGGCATGATTTGGGCTATTGCCTGCCTCTGGAGACCCTCGCCAGACCCTAGGCCGCCAAAAGAATGAAAAGCCGGCCCCAGGGAATGGGCTAAGACCTCTGGGGGTCCACGTTGAAGAAATCACGACGTCGGGGGTCTGGGAAAGCGTTGACGTGGAATCGGCGATGCATCGCCGATAGATCGGCGATAGGTCCTCGATAGCGAAACCGAACGCGTTCCTGGGCGGAGTGGGGCGCCCAAGCTCCGATTGGCGATGAATCGGCGACTGGGGGTCCATGCCTCCAACCTCCTGGGCCAATAGTTTTCGGGCCATACCTCGGTCCTCTGGCGGCCGTTCGGGGACGATTCGGGCACCCCTGAACGCTTTCGACGACTCGACGCGGAGCATCGGATGAAACTACCCCTTGGGCCTCCAAAGCGCTCCAGAAACTTTGCGGGAACGTTTGCAAACTCCCCCGCTGAGCCCTCCCCGCCTGACCTTGGCCCCCTGCCCCCTCCGGAAGAGCAAGAAAGGGCACGGACGTCACTTCTCGGCGGCGACGCAGACGCCGCCAAGGGGGGCTCTACGCCGATCCCCGAAATCCGTGCGGAACCCAGAAAAATTACGTCTATTGAAGGGGCCCTGGGACACACAAAGAAATACCCGCAAATAACAGGAATCCCCACATTTTCCACCATTTTCGGCTTTTTCTTGTCTCCTGCCCCCCTATTTTCCCATATATATATATATATATATATATATGTGTATATATACATATTCGGGGGAATCGACGATTCATTGTGTCTCTGTGTGTGTTTTTTCCCTCCCGAGCCTATGCCGCTCCTCTGCGACTCCTGCGCGCCCGCTCTCCGCCGACTCTCGACGGCCACGGCCCCGCCCCTCCCTCCGCCGCCGCGGCCGCCCTCTGCCTCCCCCGCCCGCCCCCAACGCGCCCCTGGGCCCGGCGCGGCCCGCCGGCCTGCTCCGGCGCGCCTGCGACCGCCGGCGCTGCCGAGCCGTCACCACCCTGGCGGCGGCTGGTGTGCGTGGGGCCCTTGTGCTTTTTCTGCGAAGCAATGATCACAGACCCCCTCGGGTCATGAAAAAATCACGACGGGAGGTTTTTCGCAATTTTCGGCCTCTGGGGGGCTCTCACCGGGCCTCAGGACCGTCAAAAAACGACTCAGGATGAAGAGCCGGTCCCAGGTAATGGGTCGGGACCTTTGGGGGTCGCGTCATGAAAAAATCATGACGTCGGGGGTCTGGGATTAAAGGCCCCCCGACGCACCGAGGCCAAGCCGTGTTCATCTGTTTGTGCAGCCAGGGTCCTCGCGGCTTCGGCCCTCCAGTCGGGCAGTTGCCCCAAATGCAGATGCAAAGCCAGCAGCTCGGGAGAAGGAGGCTCACTTCCTCCCCGAGGCATTCCCTTCCCCCCCCGCCCGCCCGGGCGCGGCGGCGGAAGCGCGCGGCAACGCAACCGGATCCAGAATCAGCACGGGGGGAAGCGGGTCGCAAAGGAAGCCGGGCCTGGACCCCGGGGCACGACAGGGCCAGTGCTTCATCCGGAAGCTTGTCCTGGCAGTCCCAGGGCCCGTGGAGGGCCTCGAAGGACCGACGGCCGCGAAAAGCCCAGGGACCTGCGTCCCCCACGGTGGCAAGAAGTTCTTCGATTCCCCTTCCTGACAGGTAGCGGGAATTGGCCTGTGGTATTTTCGGCAAGGACGGGTCGCGGGAATTAGCTTGTGGTATTTCTGGCAAGGTAGCGGCAACTTGCTTGCAACAGCGCCGGCGCATGCTCCAGATGTGGAAGCAATCAGTATTTTGTATTCCCCTCCCTTGGGCCAGTCCCCCCGATTGGCGGCGCGCGCAAAGGGGGTATGGGGGAAGGGGTAAGGTCAAAATATGGTTCTATTTAACGATGTGCTGTTTTTGCTTACACGGACCTCTCCTCTCCTCTCCTTCTCTCTCTCCTCTCTCTCTCTCTCGTTTCCGTTAGGATTCTATCATAAGAGGAAGGCGTATTACAAATGGATTCCTTTTGCGGAGGATGACAATCGGATTCCTTTTGTGAAGGCTTACAATAGAATTCTTTTGTGGAGGATTACAATAGGATTCCTTTTGTGGAGGATTACAAGTCTCCCAAGTACCGCCATAAAAGGAATCCTATTGTAATCCTCCACAAAAGGAATCCTATTGTAATCCTCCACAACAAGATTCCAAATCTAACCCTCCACAAAAAGGATTCCTATTGTAATCCTCCACAAAAGGAATTCCATTGCAATCGTTTACAAAAGAATCCGATTGTAATCCGCCACAAAAAGAATCAATTTGTAATCTGTCACAAAAGGAATCCTATTGTAATCCTCCGCAAAAGGAATCCTATTGTAATCCGCCACAAAAGGAATCCTATTATAATCCTCCACAAAAGGAATCTTATTGTAATCCTCCACGAAAGAATCCTATTGTACTGCTCCACAAAAGGAACCCTATTGTAATGCTCCAGGAATCCTATTGTAAGCCTTCACACAAGGAATCCGATTGTCATCCTCCGCAAAAGGAATCCATTTGTAATACGCCTTCCTCCTATGATAGAATCCTAACGGAAACGATATATATATATATATATATATAGAGAGAGAGAGAGAGAGAGAGAGAGAGAGAGAGAGAGAGAGAAAAAGAGAGAGAGAAAAAGAGAGAGAGAGAGAGAGAGAGAGAGAGAGAGAGAGAGAGGGAGAGAGGAGAGAGAAGGAAAGGAGAGGTGGGTGGCCCCAGGTGGCCGTCCGTCCGTCGCGATACCTTAGAACCCTTATCAAACGGCTCTTTTGTCCAAAGACTGCCGTATCGTGTTGGATGTGTTGCGGTTTCGTTACTGTTGTTCGCTTAGTTACGCCGAGCTGCCGCGCGTCTGCGAGTGTCCACTCAGTTCGCGTCCAGGCATTGCGCGATCATGGGTTCGCTGTAGTTGTCGACCGTTACGGGCCAGAGTGGATTGCGAGTGGGGGCGCAAGGATGCTCGCCCCTTTCGGGCTCGCAGTTGCTGGTTGCGCCCCAGAAGCGCTGTTCTCGATAGGGAAATACGTCATTGCCGACGGGGCGGGCCGCGCCTTCGCTTTCCACGTCGGTAAGTGCGCGCTGGTCAGTTTCCAACGCGGCGCAGCCGAGATGGTCTCTGCAGCCGCCTTCAACACCTTAGTTTGTGATCTCAGGCACGGGTTGAAGAAAACCTTCGTGATTCATTTGCACAGCGAGCAGCCCGATCGCCAACGCCGATCCCTGGGGCGCGACTCGCTTTGTGGCACGGGGGCCCGGAAAACCATCAAGAAGCGGCCTGCGTCTTCCAGCAGGGGCTCAGCAGCTACCGCCCCAGGTCAAGTGGGCGTGAAATCAGATCGGTGGCCTGAGGGATTGGCTTCGGCAGTGCGAGAGGAGGCTCTTCGTTGGTGGAGCCTCGCTGGTTGCATGGGCGACTACGCCGAGTTCGGTCCTCCGCATCACTGGGGATGCCCTATGTGCATCGCCAGGGACTTCAGCGAGACACGTTATTTGATCACGCACATGAGCAGATATCATATTAAAGCTCGCTGCAACATTATTCCAGAAAAAGTGCAATGCGATGTAAGTGGGCAATGGGGCCAGATAGTATCACGGTCCCGCTTTAACGAGCTGTGCGGACGCGATGGTCAGATCTCTGCTGGAAACAGTGTGAACCGCTGCGTAGTTGGCATCAGATCTCAATTGGAGGAGAGCCCCTCGTGGTCGCAGTGGGAAGGCCAACTCGCTTTTGATGTGATGCGGTTGGACAAACAAATCACCATTTTATTGGACTTAGCGAACGCAAAGTATGTGCTGACGGAAGATTGCAAGAGGTACCGCAAGGTGTCCGACAAGTTTTACTGCACTGGCGTCTTCCTGAACGCTTGCCTCGCTGCCATGATCCACCCGAATACGAAGGGGGCTACGCAGCGGATGGTCTCTTTTTTCGTTGCTCAGTCGGGCGACAAATCGCATTTGTCTCCGACCGGGGAAGCGTTCTACCATTCTTTTAACGAGAAGATGGCCAATCACATCAGTGTCCGGCGTGCCGTGGAAAGATGCCGCGCGGCTTGCGACGTCCGCGTCTTGGGCGTGGATGGGTTCTACAAGTCATTGATGTCTGTAATGTGCCAAGTTCCGCGCGGACAGAAGCAAAACGCATTTCCAGGGCGAGATCGGGTTCCATTGCGCGTTCTTATTACTGTCCAGTGCAACGACAGCATACTCGAGATTTTCGGTTCCAGTTCGGAAGACCCCGTCCAGCAGGCGCGCGCTCTTCGGAATTCTGTTCGCAGAGTGGATGCGGAGAAGGTGCAGATGATTTGCTCCGACTTTCCTGCGTATTTAGACAAGTGCAGCCAGTTGCGCGCCGCGTTGCCTAACCTGAAATGCGCTAGCAAAGACCTGCTGCACATTGCCCTCGAGGTCGAGCAAGCATCCAATGCAAGGGCGACGGCATTCTCTTCCAGCGTTCGTAAATGCATTGCTAAACTTCGCCTCGGGGATTTGGCAGATCTCGTTATCTTCAGTGTAGTGATGGTCGCGCGGGGCCTTCCGAACTGGTGGCCGCAATTGCTGCTATGAGGCCATCAGATGCGAAACGCTTGTGCCACCGCATCCAAAACAGCAGCAGCTACGTGGAGGAGCCGCACGATCTCATGTACGACTTCATCCAGGACCTGGCAGCGATCTGCTCAGCACACCCAAACATGATGCATCGCAAAACAACTAAGAATACTACGGTGCTCAGCAGTTTGGAATACGCGACCACGGCGCAGGAGCTGGGATACATTCATTTTTGTTTGCAGGTACGTCGCCAACGACCCAAACCATGACGTCATATTTGGAACCACTCGCAACGAAGCGTTCCACAAGCAGCTGAAGGCTTTTTACAGAAACGTCATGTGGCAAACACAACGACACGCTCTGTGCATTGCTGCTGCGGCGAAGTTGGCAAAGCTGTTCGTAGGCTTCTTATCGAAGTGCCAGCGTGACCAGCCGCATTCTTTTGCAGAGCACGATATATTGGCTCAGTTCTCCCATTTTTACCAGAGGTACCTCTTAGTTTCGTGCCCCGTATGAATCATGCTGTGACAGCGAACGAATCAGTAGACCAGGCCCTGCTGCCCTCAAACGCAAAGGTTACTCGCAAACGCCCAGCATCTGCGATGTAGGTATCACTGTTCCTTCACAACTTGCCCGCGTGCATTCTTACTGGTTGTCGTTGCATCCGAAAACAGTTGCCCTTCTCAACCCGATCGCATGCCCGTTTCATGGCAATAAAAACGAAAGAAACCAGCGTCGTTAAATAGAACCATATTTTGAATCCACGGGGGGAAGGGGGGGCGGCTCCTTAGAAGGAGGCTGCTTCTGAGAAGGCGCGGGCCTCGCACCCACAGATGAGGCCCGCGCCTTCTGAGAAGCGGGGGGTTTCCTAAGAAGCCTTCCCCCCTTAAAACAAGGCTAGGATCGGGATAAATCGCTCCAGAGCGTTCCGGAGCGCTCTCAGAGCGTTCCGGAACGCTCTGGAGCGGCCGCGGCGCCCAATACATCCTCCCAACCCGCCGATCCTCAGAGATTTCGAGTTCTCCCGATCCGATTTTGTCCCGATCTTCGCGTCGTTTTACCCCTCTCCCCGCCGCCCCCCCCCCCCTCGGCGCGCGGCTGGCCCGCGCTCCTCCCAGGCGGCGAGGTGCGCACGCTGCTCGCGCTCCTGCGGGGCGCGCGCGCGGCGGGCGGCCGCGGGCGCTCCCCATCGCTCCGGCGCCGCCGCCCTCGGCGGCCGCGGGCGGCGGCGGCAGTCGCGCCTTCCCACGACGCAGGCCCGATCGAGCAGGAGTCACGCCAAAACGACGCGAAGATCGGGACAAAATCGGATCGGGATACCTCGAAATCTCTGAGCATCGGCGGGTTTGGAGGATGTCTTGGGCGCCGCGGCCGCTCCAGAGCGTTCCAGAACGCTCTGAGAGCGCTCCGGAACGCTCTGGAGCGATTTGTCCCGATCCTAGCCCTGTTTGAAGGGGCCCCAGGACACACATATAAATACACACAAATAAAAATATTCCCCATATTTTCCCATATTTTCTGGGTTTCTGTCTTCCCCCCCACTTCCCATATTTTCCCATATTTTCTGGGGAATCGAGGATTAATTGTGTCTGTGTGTTTCTTTTCCTCCTGACTGTTTTGCACGCCGCCACCGCCACCGCCGCCGCGAGGGGCCTCTGCCGGCTCGAGGGTCGGCGAGCGTCGCGCCGGTGGTCTGCGAGCTATGGGCCCCCGGGGGCTCTGCTGCTGGCCCCACAGCAGTCGCTTTGGGCATCGGTCGCCTGGGAGGAAGAGCCAGCAGACATCGGACGCCTGGGAAAATATGGGGAACCTTTTTATTTGTGTGTATTTATTTGTGTGTCCCAGGGCCCCTTCAGATTTAGGCCCCCACGGGGTCTGTTCCTGGCCCCAGCAGTCGCTGGGCATCGGTCGCCCGGGAGGAGGAGCCAGCAGACATGGACCCTGGGGACCGGTCTGCGCCAGGGGACCCGTTTTCTCCAGGTGCTCGCCGGGAGGAATCGGCACCGCCACCGCCGCCGTCGACAGGAGCCAGAGGAGGTCCTCCCAGCGGCGTGGCACCCCTGCTCTGCGGCGTCGCGCCCGAGGGCGCCTGCAAGTGTGCAGCTCGGGGGCCCGTGCATCCGGCGTCTCGCCTTGCTCGGGGCACGGGCACCCCGACCTCTCGACCACTGCCCTGGGACCGGCTTTCCATCCCGAGTCGTTGCTGGACGGCCCCGAGGCCCGATAAGAGAAGGTCTCCCAGAGGCCGAACATTATGAAGACCCTCGGCCCCGCTTTCTTCGAGACGCCCGATGCCTTCGGAGGTGCCGTGGCCGGCTGGCGGTGGTGGCGTCGCTGCCCCTCCCTCCGACCGCTGGGCGGTCGGGCGCGACCCTGGGGAGATCCGGTCGGGCGCCGCGCGGCGCGCGCGCCCGCCGTGGTTGCCATGTCCGGGGGTCTTGGTCTTGGGAATGAGGCGGTGGGAAGACGGTCTCGAAGACGGGGGAACTTGATCTTGGGAACGACACGGTGGGAAGACGGGGGTCTTGATCTTGGGAACGAGACGGTCTTTGGAGTCCCGAAGCGGTGCGGTGGCGGACCGGGCGGTGACCTCGGAGTCCCCCAAGGCCTCACCGCACGGCCCGCCGCCGCACGGCCTTGGGGGGCCCGGGAGGCCCCTGCCGCCCGAGACGCCCTCGGCGAACGGCCCGAGTCCCAGAACCGCGCGGTGACCCCGAACCCCCACAGACTCACCGCACGGTGTGGTCACCACCCCGTTTCGGGGGCCCCCGACGGTTCGCCGAAACGGGAAAGACGGCTCCGGGATTGAAACTGGAGCCGCGAGCGTGAAAGAACCGGCGACGAAACCGAACGCAAAAAGCACGGCGTCAGAACCGGGAGGCAAGGGGCAACACGAAAACGGAAACCAACGGCCCTGCCGTTCGGGTGCCCTCGAGGACCAGCAGGTTGAGCGCACGCTGGCGCAAGCAGCGGGCGGGCCCTTCCGGCCCGTCGGTCCCCCCTCCCCGATGAGCGGCCACCCGCCTTTCTCGACCTCTGCTGGATGCTACTGGCTGTGGTCTCTGCGGCAGGGCCCGCCGGAACTGCCAGCGCGCCTTCGGGATCAAAGGGAGCCCAGGAGCGCATGCGGCAGGCGGATTGCGGCACACTTGGCGCTCCCCGCAGAAAGGTCTCGACCTCTTTCTGGGGACCGGCCCCTGCCGAGCCGCTCTGGGCGGTCTCGGGGTCCAGAGAGGTCTTCGGAGGCCGAAAACAGGCAGCAGCGGCCCGTCGCGACTTTTCCCGGCGTGAGGGAGTCTACATCCCTCTTCGAAATTGAACGCAAGTTTTAGCCGCGACCTGGCGGCGCCCCCCGATCCCCAATTTCAATGTTCACGCCGACGCCGGCGACTTCGAGATTCTCTTCGGACCCCGCCGGCCGCGATGCGCCTGTCGATGAACATTGAAATGCGGGGGCGACGGGGGTGAAAAAAACTTGCGTTCAATTTCGACGAGGGTTGTAGGTCTGGGGGGTCGAAAGTCGACCACCCGCTTCTGGGGTGCACCTGGACCAGGCATTCGGAGGTGGACCTGGCCGTGGCGAAGAGGAGCCTTGCGGAGGCCCCTGAGATCCGACCGTGCCAAACATGGCAACACAGACCCCCGCGGAGGAGGAGGGGGAGGAGGAGGAGGAGGAGGAGGAGGAGGAGGAGGCGGAGGAGGAGGAGGAGGAGGAGGAGGAGGAGGAGGAGGAGGAGGAGGGGGAGGAGGAGGAGGAGGAGGGGAGGAGGAGGAGGAGGAGGAGGAGGCTTTTTTTCAGGCCAGATAGCTCTGGGATGGCCCTGGGGCACAATTCTGGGGGAAAACGCCCGGTGTGATAAAACTGCAGCGCCCAGATCTCAAGGTCGAGCCCGGAAAGTTCGAACCTCGAGTATGGCAGGTTCGAGCTGCGACGTCCCAGGCGTGGGTTTCTGACACCGCGCGGATCATTCAACCCTCAACGATCACGGCTTGCCGATAACGCAGATCGTTCGATGTTGTACTGGCCGATGCTGGGCCGCTGGCGGCGTGCAATCTTGAACGCCAGCGCCGGGGTCGCCGCAGCGTCGACACGACACGAACCTGCCGCAGCCCCCCTCCCCACCTGCCTCCCCTCCTCCTACTCCCACCCTCCCCCTACCTCTACCTCTACCTCTACCTCTACCCCTACCTCCTCCTCCTCCTCCTCCTCCTACCTCCTCCTCCTCCTACCTCTACCTCCTCCTCCTCCTCCTCCTCCTCCTCCTCCTCCTCCTCCTCCTCCCCCTCCTCCTCCGGGTCGCGGCCGCCTCGACACGACACGAACCTGCCGCAGCCCCCCTCCCCACCCGCGCCGCCCCGCCGTCGCCTCGGCCGTGAGCGGCGCTGCCTCGGCGCTGCACTGGGCGGCGGCCTCCTGGCCAGGGCCCTCCCCTCGTCCCCTGCCCTCCCTGCTCCTCCCCCGCCGTCGTCGTCGCCGCCGTCCTCCTCGTCCTCCTCCTCCCGGCGCCCTCCCTCCTGCCCATCCCTCTCGCGCTTCTCCCCCTCCGTCGTCGTCGCCGTCGCCGCCGTCGTCGTCGCCGTCGCCGTCGCCGTCGTTGTCGCCGTCGCCGTCGTCGCCGTCGCCGTCGTCGTCGTCGCCGTCGCCATCGCCGTCGTCGTCGTCGCTGGCGTCGTCGTCATCGAAGTCGTCCTCGTCCTCCTCCTCCATCTCTCTTCCTGATGAGTCCGTAGGCCAGGGCAGGCGTTTCGCTTGAGACTTACCTGCAGCTTGCAACCCTGACCAGAACACCTACAGCAGCCACAAGGATGGAAGGCTGGTCGTTTCCAACATGCGACTCTCGCCTCAGCGCCGCGCATCCAAGTCTAAATGTTTCCAGCAACTACAAGAATGGAGGACTGGGGGCTTTCAACATGCGGCTCTCGACTTCGCGCCAAGCAGATTCGTATGAAGATGCCCATTCGTTGCGAGGATGGAGGCCACCACGCTGTCAAACCGCGGCTATCATGCGAGACTCCGTCGCAGTCTATGGCCCGAAGCTCCAACTTGTGCTCCCGCAGAACTTATGCATATAACTTTGGAACAAGGAGCAAGTCCTGACAGCAAAGCTGGCCCGCTAGGGGCAGGACCTGGGGGGGCGGTGAACTCAGTCGTCGAACTTGGCCCCTCCGCAGCCCAAGCGACAAAATCCTGCTGGTGTTGGCGCCAATGCTCACCGGCTGCCAACGCACGCCATTCGCCCAAGCCATAATCGTTGCCAAACTCATTGATACAATCTTCGAACCACATCCGCCCTCGCGAAGACGGCCTCCGGAGACGCAGTGCTCCGATGCTGGCCGGATGGAAGGCAGATCCTCTTCCGAACGGGACAATCGCCGGACACTCCCGTGAACTTTCTCATCCTGTACCTCTTTGCGTTTCTCTTGTCGCTCGAAGGCCGGAGGGTCGATCCTTCCCACATGGGATCCCGCTGGAGAGTGGCGGGCCCTGCGGGCGCTCCTGGACAGGAGCGCTCGTGGGGGGCCCAGGATGCGGGAACCTGGGACGGGAGGGTGTATTGCAACATCGTTGATGCGTCATCCTGGCCGTACTCTGGTCCTCCTCCTCCTTCTTCCTTCCCTCTCCCTACCTCTCCCCCTCCCTCGTCGTTGTCGTCGAAACCGTCGTCCTCCTCCTACTCCTCCTCCCGTCCTCCCGTGTCGGTCGTCGTCGTCCTCCTCCTCCTCTTCGTCCTCGTCCCCGTCCTCGTGGTCCTCCTCCTCTTCCGTTCTCCACCCCGCCTTCCTCATCCTCTTCCTCCTCCGCCTCCGCCTCCACTTTCGCATCCCCCTCTTCATCTCCCGACTCCTCACCCTCCTCGTCGTTTCTCCTCCTCGTCGCAGTCCTTCCCCAGCTCCACTTCTGCCTCAGCCCCTCTCCCACTCCGCCTCCCCCTCCCTCTTTCCCTGTTTTCTCCTCCTCCTCCTCCTCCTCATCCCCCTCTACCCCCCATCCTTCCTTCCTTCCTTCCTCCCTCCCTCCCTCCCTCCCTCTCTCCCTCCCTTCCTCCATGCGCCGCAGCCGTTCTAACCCCTGAACGGCTGAAAGATTCAATCAGCACGCGTACGGAGGTCGTGGTGCCCCTCAGCGACTCCGGGCAGGCCCTGCAGAAGCTTCGCGCTCGCATGATGCTGGGGTCCCATGTTACCTCGTCGGCGGAGTGCAGAGTCCCCACTTGGGCAGCTTAGCTGCGCGACGCCGCGCGGTGCCAGCGCTCTCCCTGAACCCTGCAAGATCCCCGTGCTTGCGAGCTCTGCTCGCGGAGCCCGACGAGTTTCTTCGCGACCCTGGAGCTCCAGCGTGGGCGGGGGGACATGCAGTATCGCAATCCCCCCACGCGCGCCATGAGGACTAACCCGCCAACGCTGGCCAATCTCTACACTGCTCCTGCACAAATAAGCACGCTTCAAGGTCCAGCGAGCCAAGATACGGAGATCACGCAAGTAACAAACAGTACAAGTGTCTTCGAGGCAAAGAAGGGCTGCAATCCTTTGTTTCTCCATTAAGACCGTTGCCATATGGCATCACGGCGTGAGCCAGACAACCATCGGACACACCGGAAATGTCACACGAGACTACGGCAAGAACGCGCGAAGACTGCGATCAAAACTACTGCGCCGACCAGGTTCGCGTCATGGAGGTCGAATGTAGAAGCCTGACGCCCGTCCGCACAGTGGGGGCACCTCGTAAACCTCATCGTAGACACGGCCGAACTCGAGCCCTATCCTGAACTCGCAGGGCGTCTCAAGGTGGCATGGGGCCAGCTGGGGGCTTCACCACCAATGCTTGGCAATGGGGGTCCAAAGGCAAGGGCATGAGCAAATCTGCGGTACCTAAACTACACAGGGACTGCCCGCTGTACACGAAGAGATAGCGGCGGTGGCGATAGTCTCTGAAGTATGGGGCATTGTGTAGTGACGCGTGACTGTAGGGCCAGTGAGTATTGAGAAATGAAAGAGAATTATCCCAGTGCGACCCTACCTAGGAGTTGGAGCCCCTAGGAAAGCAGCATTCGTAGTAACAGTAAAGCTAAGCTAAAGCTAAGCTAAAGCTAAGGTAAAACTAAGCTGAAACTAAGCTAAAGCTAAGCTAACACTAAGCTAACGCCAAGCTAAAGCTATGCTAAAGCTAAGCTACATCTAAACTAAAGCTAAGCTGAAACTAAGATAAAGTTATGGTAAAGCTAAGCTAAAGCTAAGCTAAATCTAATCTAAAGCTAAGCTAAAACTAAGCTAAAGCTAAGCTAAAGCTAAGCTAAAACTGAGCTAAAGCTAAAGCTAAAGCTAAAGCTAAAGCTAAAGCTCCCAGGGGACTGGGGGAACCGCTCCCAAGGGACTGGGGGAACCGCCCGGGGCGAGTTGCACTGCCCGGCCCCTTTAAGAAAGAGAGTAAGAACCCTCTAGGCAGAGCCTAGGTAGGGAACAGGCAAAGCTAAGCCAAGGGGGCGCAACTGGGGGAACCGCGGGGCGGATACTGGGGGAACCGCCCGGGGCGAGGAACACTGCCCGGCCCCTTTAAGCCCAGCGAGTAAGAACCCTCTAGGCAGAGCCTAGGTAGGGAAAAACATAGATGAGGCAAATACGTGCTTGTGGGGATTCCTGTATGTGTATCCATGGATGTGCACATTCTACATGCGGCGGCGGCGAGTCTCTCGAATATGAGGCAGTGCCTGGTAGAGAGAGCGCCAGACCAGATGTCATACCCCCGTGTTTGAGTGATAGAACCCTCTTTAGCAAAACCCCTTTTAGCGAAAACTGCTGGGGCACTCCGCGGATGCGCGCTGCACCGCACTGCACTTGCACACTCGTATGCCAATGTCGAATGAACCCGTGTAGATTGCCTCAATCGACTTGTCTGGGTGGGCGTCTTGGACTAGCGCTGTACCGCTCCCCCTTGCGTCGCCTCCGGCGCTGCTCCTGGTGCGCTCCGCGCGCCAGGGAGGGGGGTCCAGCGCCGATCCAAGAAATCCGCGCGGAGCTCCAACAAATTATTGATTCGCCGTGTTTTGTTCTTCGATTTTGACCGTCGACGTGACGTTGATCGGGACCTGGGGAAGGTGAGAGGGAGGGCACGACACCACGAGCGAACATGGAGGACCGGGGGGCATCGAGATGGGGAGGGCGAGGGAGGCAAGGGCGGTGCCAGAGGAGAGGCGGGCCCGGGAAGGGAGACGGGCAAGGCACCGTGCAGGAGAGCGGCCACCATCCTGTGTGCGCTTGGTGGTCGCCTGGAGCTCGGCCTGTCGCCGAGGAGGGGGGGCAGACAGGGCAAGCGAACTCCCAACGCAATCGACGCGTCGGATTCGAACCTCGGCGCGCTCGGAAACGCGCAGGCAGATCGCTGGAGCCGTCCAGCGCGGTGCAGTCCAGGCTGCCGGGAGGACCGCTGCTGGGGCTTGCGCCCTACGGCCGGCAGAGCTGCACAGGCAAAGTCGTGCCCTGGGACGCCGTCCCCCAAGGAACGTCCCGCTGCTGGGCTGCCGCGGCGGGTCACCGGCCCCGCCTCGGAGCCAGGCTCGGCTGCAGGAAGGGAGTGAATCCGGGCAGAAGAGGGATCTCTGATGCGCGGCCTTCGTGAGTCGCGGGGGTGCCACATCCAAACGCGCAAGTCAGTGTTGGGGGGGGGGGCTTGGTGAGCCCGCACCAGAAACCATTCTGGCAGCGAAAGGTCACTCTCACGCGTAGCTGGAAGACTCCACCAGCAATTCTCGTGTCGGGGGCGTCCACGAGGGGGGGTCACAAATCGCGGCCCGAGGCATGTCCCAAGCGGGCCAGAAGATGAAGAAAATGAGGCCACGAGACCTGGAAGGTATCATGGCACCCGCCATGATACCCATCCAGCCTGATCATCACACCCCCCTCTTGGCCGCCCTCGATCGAGCGTGGTCCGAACGCCAGTGCTCGCCGGACATCAACACGCCGTGGCCAACGGCCGTCGCCAGTAGAGGCCTCCCAAGTTGGGGTCCGAATAGAGGAGGTCGGGGGATCGCACCGCATCGCCGATGCATCGGCGACGCCGGCGTGGAGACAGTCGGGCCCCACATCGAGACGCAGTGCAGATGCACTGGGGATGCGTGGCGATCTTTCGGCCCCGGCTGCTCGGATTCCGCGTGGGAGGCCCGGAACCGCATGGGGCGCTCCAGAGAGAGTCGTGGGCCCGGGTCTCGCGGCCCCGCGGCCCCTCGGCCCGTGGAGCTCGCGCGGAGGCTGGGCCGGGCGGCGGAGGAGGAGGAGGAGGAGGAGGAGGAGGAGGGAGGAGGGAGGAGGGAGGAGGGAGGAGGGAGGAGGGAGAAGGAGGAGGAGAAAGGTAGGCCCCCCCCGCGACCACTGGGCCGGATGGCGCGGGTTCCCTGCGGCGCGTTTGAGCCAGCGAGCGGGCGTGCCCTGCACCGAACGGCGCGTGAGCAGGACGCCTTCCACAACTGCTCCAAGTCGCCGCATCCAGCTCCTCGACCTCGAGGGAAAGGGGAAGGTTAAGAGGGGATCGGCTCAGGGGGGGGATGCATCGACCCCCCATCTGTCATTGACTTCTCCAGCGCCTCCTGGCGCCAGAGGCGCCAGCGTGTTAAGGGAAATGCAACACACACCACACAACAGCACACACACCACATACAAGCACACAAACACACACACACGCACACAAACAGACACAACAGCAACAACAACACCAACACCACCACCACCAACAACAACAGCACACAACAACACACACACAACACACAACACACACCACACACCACACGCACACTCACACTCACACACACACACGCACACACACGCACGCACGTACACGCACACGCATACACTTTTTGCGTCGGCGGCGAGGCAAGGGAAGGCTGCGCTAGCGGAGAGGCCTAAACGGGGATGCCGTTATGGCGAATTATGCCACCATGCAAGAGGAGAAGGAGGAGGAGGAGGAGGAGGAGGAGGAGGAGGAGAAGGAGGAGGAGGAGGAGGAGGAGGAGGGCGAGACCGAATGAGGGGGCGGGAGAAGCGAGCCGTTCAGGGGGGCGGGTCACGCCCCGAGCGTGTGGCGCAGCCGGCGGTGGGGCCCACTGCGGGGGATGGAGCATCCCAGGAGTAAGGGTGCAAAACGAGCAGTACCAGAGCCTGGCGGCAGCCCGTCCCCAGGGCGGGAGCGGGCGTGGTGTCGGCCGAAGCTGGGCGCCAACGGCGGGCGGCAATATCAAGCCTGGGGCCGCCGCGGGTGGTGGCTGCAGGCAGCCTGGGGCGGCGGCTGCGAGCAGCCGGCGGCGCCATGGCGGCGCGTGAGGTAGGCGAAGCGAATGGGGGGGAAAAGCGAACAGGGAGGAATACGCCCCACCTGCCCACCTGTGGGGCCCACAGGTGGGGCGCCAGGGCAGCAGCGCTGGCGGCGCCCAGCGCACGGCGCAAAGGCCAGCGCGGGGGGCAGGACGTCGGGCATTGAGCGGCGGCGGGGCGGGGGAGGCCAGGGGCCGGTGTGGCCGGCCGGCCTCGGGCGACCAAGAAGACCGGCCGAGCGAGCGGTAAGCCCGTCAGCACCTGAGAAGCGCAGCGAAAGCGAGGCACCGAACTGGCGCAGGCGAAAGGAGGCGCGTACGGGCTCCCCGCGGGGACGGGGAGTCCCGCGGGGTGAAGGGGGGGGAGCGGCCACCGCGAGGAGAGCGGCAGGGGGCCTCTTCCAGGTGGGCGGTGGCGAGGCACCGGGCTGGTGCAGCCGAGCGGGTAGGGCTGGGGCTCCCCCTGCGGGGTGGGGGAGGCCCGCAGGGGAGGGCGAGCAGCCGCCGCGGGGGAAGCGGCAGGAGGCCCCCGCCGATGGCGGAGCGCACTGGACTGGTGCAGGCCAGCAGGAAGCGAAAGGAAGCAGTGGCCGTCCCTCGCCTGGGGGGGCCCAGAGGGGCGACTCGGGAGGGGGAGCGTGGGCCCACCATCCTCCGAGCGGACCGCGGTGGGCGCGCCAGGAGGGCCAAACGGCGGCAGGGCCCCTGGCGCCCGGCCCGCCGGCTCGGCGCGTATGGGCGAGCAGCGGGCAGGGCGAGACCACGTGGGGGGGCGGACGCTAGGCGAAGAGGTAGCGCAGAAGAGGACCGAGTGGACGTGCCGGGGCGCTGCTTGGCGAGGCACCCCAGGGGTCGGCAGGGCGCCTGTGGGCGGCGAGTGGTCGTGGGTGGCTTGGCGGGGTGTCCTTGGGCCCTTGGAGCGCCCGATGGATGCCGGCGCGGAGGTGTGGCACTGGAGGCAAGGGCGGGTGGGTGGGGTCGCGCTTCTGCGGGGCCTGGGAGGGCTCTCCCGCGCGTGGTAGTCCGCGCGAGGAGCGGGCCGAGCCCAGCTCCTGGGAACGGGGGCCGAGCAGCTGCGGGCGGTGGGCGTGGCGGCTGGGGAGGCGCTGCCTGGGCTGCTCGTTGTTGGGCCAGGTAGGGTCGGCGAGTCGCTTGCCTTGCCCCGTCGGGTCTGGGCCTTTACATTTAGCCTTGCCCTTGCCAGATAGCTGCTCCATTATGTGCGCGTGCGCGTCCCGTGCCTTCCGCCAGTTTATGTGGATTCCCCACGGTCGGCCCAAGCGTCGGATGTTGAAGTTCTCGTCGCGCAGCTGGCAAACGTTCTCCTCGCAGAAGCGATCCTGGCCCCCTGGGTCGTAAATCGCCCCAGGCCGACCTACCCGTTTGTCGCAGGGAGCTTTCCAGCTAATGACGAGCATGGGCCAACATTCCTTCTTCAGACTGTGCACAACCCCTGGCGACGTCTCGACGCGGTTGGCTTGGCAGCTCCATGCGCAGCGCCAGCGTACGCTCTTGCGGGGCTTGTTGTAGAGGCAGCTGTCGGGGTCTGGGTGGGGGGTGTACGGGTCGCGACGCGGATGTATGGGACTGAGTGCGCAGGAGGCGGGAGAGAGTGATCTGCGCGCCCGCCAGGGGCCGCCCCCCCGCTGGAGGCGGCGTGAGGGTCAGAGCCGCCAGTGGGGTGTTCCTCAATTCTAAGTGTCTTGCGCGCGCGCGCGCTCACCGTCCGATTCTTTAGGCTCATCCCCTTCCGCTACCAGCTCGGTGCGGGTGCCTAGATGGGGGCCCGTGCCGCTTGCTTCTCCTGCGGTGCTGGTCGGGGGGGGCTGGCTGGTCGGCTGGTGAGCGCTCTCGCTCGTCGGCAGGGGTGGTGGTTAGTGCGTCGGGGTTTAAGTCGGCTTCGCTGCGCAGTGGGGACGGCGATGGCAGACGCTGGTCCCAGCTGGAGTATTGGCTTCGGTCGGGGAGGGCAGGGGATTGCCCGATGCAGGGTCGCGTTGGCGGCCCGTCAGAGGGCCCCTGGGGCGAGCCGCTGGCTGCCCCTGTGCCTTCTCTTGCCGTGGTGTCGCGGGTAGGCCCCTGAGCGGAGCTATTGGCTTGAGCGCTGGGTGCTGCGCCCGTGCGATGCGGCTCGGCGGATGGGCTGATCCTGATTTTGTTGCGGTTGTGCTGGGTGCTGTGTCGTGTGGCCGTGTGGGGGGAGCAGTTCGCGAGGACCGGGGCTGCACAAAAGCATCCAGCGCCGACCGCCCGAAGAGATGCACCGCGTCGACGCGCCTTACAAGGAGCAGACGCAGACCCGACAAGTCTGGTCTGGGCCCTGGTGGCACTGTCGATCTACCAACTCGACACGCGCCTTACCGGCGCCCTTCTCCACGCGCACCTTGCCCCCGCGGCCCGTCCCAAGTGAGGCCAGGAAGCCGAGGAGGAACTCCCAGCTGTACCTGATGGGCTCGTTACTTATGTCTACTGCCTGCGGGTGGTTGGTCAAGCGATAGGAGTTCCAGAGGTCCCACACTTTCTCTGGCCCCCCTTTGCCATTTTGGGTCGTTCCCCTGCGCATGTGGTCGACTAGGTGGGCCAGGGCAGCCTGCATCCCTTCCTAGTGCATGCCGCCCGGGCTCCCGCTGTGCGGGATGTTATCGAGGTGTTATGCTCTTGAGGAAACCTTTGCAATCGTCCTCAGTCCAGGCCCTAGGGTTTTTTCTGGGCTGCCCGTTTGGAGGGTGGCTGCTGATTCTGCAGGTCGTCGGCCCACGCCCTCCGGGGCCCATCCTCGGTGTGGTGCGGCGCCCGGGCGTGTTGAACCAAGACGTGTACGATGGTGTTGTCAGCCTTCCCGGGCACACGTACACACATGTACACACGCACACACACACACACGCACACGCCCACACGCCCACACACACGCACACACACACACACGCACGCACACAACACACGCACACACACACACACGCGTCAACGGGCGTGTGGTGTGATGTGATGTGTTGTGTTGTGTTGTGGAGTGCTGTGCTGTGGTGTGCTGTGATGTGCTGTGATGTGCTGTGCTGGCCACGCGCACACGCACACGCGCAGCTTTGCTTTACCTTGCTGCGATGTGTAATGTTGTGCGGGTGTGTCCGCGGCCGTTCGTGATAGAAACGTAGCCGCTTCCATCCTGGATCGCTGTTGTGTCTTCTCCGGGTAATGTAATGGTAAGTGTTTTCACTTCTCTCTCTGCCCTGGCGCGGACCCGCGCCATTGTGGCGTGGTTTGAGGCTCTTGCGAGACGGCGATGGTGTTGTGGCGGGCCCCCTGGGACTTCGCCGTCTGTTATGTTGCTGGGAGGCGGTCGCCCGTTGCCAATGCTGGGCTTGGCTTGATGCTTGTGTGTGGCTTCTCCTTCCGCCTCCTCGTCGTCGGCCGATTCATGGTGTCTGGATGGTGGGTTTGCTGTGCGCAGGCTGCTCGCCGGGATCACCGCAGACTCGGCGCTGGGAGGACGTGCGGTTGCTCCTGCTGGCTGCCGGCGGAGCCGTGGGCGGCTTCGCTCGCCGGGCACGTCGTGGTGCTGCCCGCCGTGCCGGCGGAGCGAGACTTCGGTCAATGGGACCGTCCCGAGCGTCCCCTCTCCTCGCACTCTCCTCCCTCCTCCTTCCCTCACCTCTGTCGTTGTCGTTCGTCGCCCCTCCTGCTCGGGGTCGTCAACGCTGTCCCGGGAGCCTCGCTCAGGAGCTTAGCTGCCCCGATAAACAACACACAAAATACGTATCGTTTTGATACGGAGCTCAACACGTAGACTTAACACGTAGACTTAACACGCAGGTCTGGCGCGATACGTTCGCCAAAACGTGGGCCAACACGTTGAGCCAACACGCAGCGTGTTAACACGGACGTTTTCATCACGGCACGTGCTGCGTTTCAAAACGGGCGTATCGAGGCAGCTAAGCTTAGGAGCGATGGCACGTCCATGAACTGCGGCTCATCCCAGCTTCCCCGTTCAGGCGCGATGGTACGAAAAGTCCGAATGGAACAACACACGCTCTCTCGCCCACCCGCGCTCCCACACGCTCTGTGGAGCGTTTGTGCGGAGGTCGTGCGGTGCGGTGCGCCCGCATCACGTCCCCCAGGATGGCCTGACCACCCTCCGCGCCACAGCGGGCAACGCACCACGGCAGCATGCGCGCACGCCTGCCCGGCGGTGTCGTGGGTGGTCCTTGCTCGTGTGATGCGACGCGCGTCTGTGGCAACGGTCGGGGCCACCAGGGCTTGGAAGGGGCTGGTCCTTGACGGATGGGGCTTCAGAGCAGCGTGCGTTCAGGTGTGCGTCGGGGTGGTGTGCGGATACAGTGTTCCCTCTTACAGCGGGGGAGCGAACGAGCGACCACACACCACACACACACACACGCACACACGCACGCACGCACGCACGCACGCGCGCACGCACACACAAAACGCACCGACACGCACACACGGACACACAGACACACATACACACGAAACACATACTGTAAGCACACGCACACACACCCACACACAAAGACACAGAGACACACACAGACCCACACCGACACACACAGACACACTCAGACACACACACACACACATACACCTATACACAGACACACACAGACACACGGACACACGGACATACACCCGAACAGACACCCGAACAGACACAAGCAGACACAAGCAGACACAGGCACAGACACACACAGACACACACAGACACAGACACAGACACAGACACACGCACACACACAGCCACACACAGACACACACAAACACATAGACACACACAGACACACACACAACACAGCACAACACAGCACAGCACAGCACAGCAAAGCACAACACAGACAACACACCACACCACACCACACCACACCACACCACACCACACCACAAGACAAGACAAGACAAGACAAGACAAGACAAGACAGGACAAGATAGGACAGGCCACAACAAGACAAGACAAGACAAGACAAGGCGAGACGGGACAAGACAACACACCACAACACAACACGACACATACACGCGCGCACACACACACACACCCACTCACCCACGCACCCACGCACGCACGCACGCACACACGCACACACACACGCACACGCACGCACACACGCCGGCGGCCTCTCCAGGACGGCAGGAGGCCCTCGGAGAGGGCAACAGCAGCGCGCCACGCCTCCAAGAAGCCTTCCTGGGGGACGCCGACGCGCTTCTGACGGGGCCGCCCCCCCCCCTCGCGCCACCCCTCCCGTGTGCGCCCCCCCAAACGCTGCTGGCGGTCTCGTGCCGGCGGGCTCCGAGCTGGCGGCGCCGACCCGCGACGCGCGCGCGGCCCTCCCAGGAGCCGCAAGCCGCCCCTGCCGCCGGGGCAGACAGCAGCCACCCAGCAGCGCCGCCCAAGACTCGAGGGGTCCGAAACGCCTCGGGATGAGGCGCCGGTCCCTCCTGCCAGCAGGAGGTCCAGACCTTTTTGTGTCTCTTTCTTGGAGGAGTAGGATAGGAGCGGACGGAATGAAACAACAGGGGGCGTCAGAACGCGAGTGCCGCCACTCACCTCTGGGGATCCAGGCTGTGAAGGAATCACGACGCCAGATGTCTGGGCAATTCCATCCACGGTGCTGTGCAACACCACGGGGAAGCTCAGGTGGTCGTCCAGCTTGCCCCGCGCACCATGCAAGTCGGCATCGTGCTCACCAGAGCGGCCCCCTCCCCCTACACCGCGAGGTGGCAGCGCTTCTCTCAGCCATGCAGATTCGCGACTCGGGGCGGCGGACCGTGTGACGTCTCTGGAGGGCAGCATTGCTGACACCACCGCCCTCAGAGCATATCCAGCAAGAACAGCCACGCTTGCACCCCTGGAGTGGGGAGGGTTGCAAAGCCGCGGGCATGATCCGCCGCGACGCTCGCGGCCATGCCCTCTCACACAAACGCGTCCGTCGGCGCGCGGGCCTCGCGGAAGTGCAGGACGAAGCGGAAGCGGAAGTCGTCGTGCGGTCGGTCGGGCGGGGTGTCGTACGGCCACCAGAAAATGTAGTTCGTGTTCCAGAGGTTATCCCACAAGACGAAGTTCGCACCCCGACTCCAGTCAGGCTGCTCGTGGACCGGGGTCGGATAGGGGTCCGGGCCGCCCCAGGAGACAATGGAAGCGTCCAGCGTCTCCACGAACAGGCTGCTGCCGTCTGTGCGCGCGAAGCTGATCCCGCTGCTCACGCCGTGCAGACCTCAGGAACGTTTCCCCGATCTTGGCGGATCGGTGTCCTGATCCCGATCCAGATCCTGTCTGGCGGTGCGCACAAGGGGTAGAGGGGATGGGGGAGGGCTTTCTAGAAGGAGGCTGCTTCTCAGAAGGCGCGGGCATTCCATCTGCAGAGACGGCCCGCGCCCTCTACGAAGCAGGGGTGCTTCCACGAAGCCTTCCCCCCTGCCCCTAGCCCCCTCTGCGCGTGGCCGACCTGTCCTGGTGCAGCAGGATCAGCCAGCATCGAGCCAGGAGACTGAGCCGCGCATCGGGCCGCGCCGGCACGGAGTCGAAGGCCAATCGGATCCGCCCCGGCTGTTTCGTTCCGGGCGCCGTCGCACGGTTTTGCAGGCCCCGGGGGAGCCTCACAGGTCGATCTGGCTCGAGAAGTGCCGCAGACCGATGGGGGTCCAGGATGGTTTGGGAGGTTCCATTTCTTCTTCGCACCGTCGAAGCTCAGGGTACCTTCCCATTCTAGTTCTCGTTTCCCAGCCATCCTGTGGTGTTGGGTTCTTGCTTTGAATCAGCAGGGCCCCGCGTTCTTCTTCTCCTCTCCTCATCCTCCTGCTGCTGCTATCGGCTGATTATGTGTTGTCCTGAAGCCGTTCCCAGCCCTGCCCCCCCAAACAGGGAGGCAGGTCCGGTATTGAAAGGTGGCGCCACTAGCCGAAAGGGGGGGCTACCCCGGGAGGCGAGGGAGACACGCGGAGGGGGACGAAACGGGATGAACAAGGGAGGTCCCCCTCCTCCGCGTCCCTGCCTCAACCCTCCGCGCGTCCTCATCGTCCTCCTCATCATCAACGTCCCCATTCGTCGGCACACCCCTTACACGTCTCGCGGCCCCCTAGTGAGCTCCGCCTGAGGCCCCAGTATTTGCGCCCGCATGCCTTCTCCGCACCATTTCGGCGCACCCTCTCCTTCACATGTTGTTATTGTTGTTTGCTTGTTTGTTTGTTTGCTGGTTGGTTGGTTGGTTTGTTTGTTTGTGTGCATGCTTGTGTTGATGCCTGCTTACTGGGTGTGTGCTTGTTTTTTCGCAAAGCAGTGCTTACATGTTGTTTTTCTTTATCTCTCTCTATATTATCAATATAAAAAGGAATTCAGTGGGTCCTGCGAGGTTTCGCCACGTTGCCGCCCGTAACCTCCTCGTGGCCGCCTCGTGCGTTGGGTGGCTCTGGCGAGGTTTCGCCACGTAGCCGCACGTGGCAGCCTCGTGGCCGCCTCTGGCTTGCAACACGTATACTGCACAACATCGCTTGCAGCACATAGCTTGCAGCACATAGCTTACACATCCACAGTGCAATAACTTACTGTTTGTGCTCCACGCTGGCTAACATTGTTTGTCTTCGGTTTTGCAATTTAGTTGTAGCACGTTTGTCTGTCTACCTGTTTTGAATTGTTCGAGTTGTTCCTTTTTGTTCTTGGTGCTGTTTTTTTTCCCAACCCTCCTGCGTTGGGTTCTCGTTTTGAATAGAGCACTGCTCGCGCGTCTCCTTCCCACCCCCTCCAGTCCCTCTCTTCCCCCCTGACTTTCGCCTCGCTCGTCGCTGCGTGCCAGCTGGGGGGCTGCGATCTGTGAAACTGTCGCCACTTTCGAGGCCTGCTGGGGGGCCCAGCGCAGTGGGTACCCACGGCGGACTCACATGGGACCTCGCCATCCCTGGGGGGCTGCGATCTGTGAAACTGTCGCCACTTTCGAGGCCTGCTGGGGGGCCCAGCACAGTGGGTACCCATGGCGGACCCAAATGTGACCTCGCCATCCCTGGGGGGCTGCGATCTGTGAAACTGTCGCCACTTTCGAGGCCTGCTGAGGGGCCCAGCACAGTGGGTACCCACCGCAGATTTAAATTAGACCTCGCCATCCCTGGGGGGCTGCGATCTGTGAAACTGTCGCCACTTTCGAGGGCTGCTGGGGGGCCCAGCACAGTGGGTACCTGGGACCTCGCCATCCCTGGGGGGCTGCCAGCTGTCGCCACTTTCGCGGCCTGCTGGGGGGCCCAGCACAGTGGGTACCCACGGCGGACTCAAATGGGACCTCGCCATCCCTGGGGGGCTGCGATCTGTGAAACTGTCGCCACTTTCGAGGCCTGCTGGGGGGCCCAGCACAGTGGGTACCCGGCGGACTCAAATTAGACCTCGCCATCCCTGGGGGGCTGCGATCTGTGAAACTGTCGCCACTTTCGAGGCCTGCTGGGGGGCCCAGCACAGTGGGTACCACGGCGGACTCAAATGGACCTCGCCATCCCTGGGGGGCTGCGATCTGTGAAACTGTCGCCACTTTCGAGGCTGCTGGGGGCCCAGTGGGTACCCACGGCGGACTCAAATGGGACCCATCCTGGGATCTGTGAAACTGTCGCCACTTTCGAGGCCTGCTGGGGGGCCCAGCACAGTGGGTTCAAATTAGACCTCGCCATCCCTGGGGGGCTGCGATCTGTGAAACTGTCGCCACTTTCGAGGCCTGCTGGGGGGCCCAGCACAGTTTCAAATTAGACCTCGCCATCCCTGGGGGGCTGCGATCTGTGAAACTGTCGCCACTTTCGAGGCCTGCTGGGGGGCCCAGCACAGTGGGTACACCCACCAATTCCTTCGCCATCCCTGCTGCTGATCTGTGAAACTGTCGCCATCCCTGGGGGGCTGCGATCTGTGAAACTGTCGCCACTTTCGAGGCCTGCTGGGGGGCCCAGCACAGTGACGCCACACGCAGATTCAAATTAGACCTCGCCATCCCTGGGGGGCTGCGATCTGTGAAACTGTCGCCACTTTCGAGGCCTGCTTGCGGGGCCCAGCACAGTGACGCCTCCCAAGTAGCTTATACATCAAGTTGATTGTCCATACAAGTTTCGACCAACTCCTCGTTTCCATTGATGCAAACGGGTTGGGTACGTCACAGGGTAATTTTTCGTTGCCCCCCTCGCAAACGATTATTCCTATGTTCGGGGGTCCAGGGCTGTTCTCGGTGCGCCAGAATCTGCTGAGACAGCGCACGCATTGTTTCTGGCGATGCTGGAGGTCTGGGTCGAACTCCGGCTGGCGGGTCGGGGTCCTCCGAGCAGCGGGCCTCTGCTTCCGCCATCGACGACGTCCTCTCTGCGAGGCAAGCGGGACACACGATGACATACGCCGGCTGCAGATCCCCGGTCTTCAGCGGGAAGAGGGGGAGGGGTGGAGGGGTGGGGGAGGCGGGAGGGGAGGAAGGGAGGACGGGGGTGGGAGGGGAGGGTGCGGGTGGGATGAGGAAGGGCCGGGGAGGAAGGTGATGAGGGGGAGGATGACCAGGCCGAGGAGGATGAGGAGGGATGGGGGAGAGGGGGAGGGGGAATGCAGGAGGAGGGAGAAAGGGAAGGAGATATGGGGGAGAGGCGACCGAGGGAGAAGAGGAGGCGTGCGGAGTACTGGGGTAGTTTCGTCAGTCAGGTGCTCTGGTCCTCGCCGCCACCGCCCCCCCCCGCCCCCCGCTTCTGCACAGCCCAACACGTGCCATCCGCCACGCTGATGGCCTGGCTGCAAATCCTTACTGAAACATCGCTGCAGGTCCTGGATTTCGGTCCCGCCAGGCCTCGAGGACGCCCATGCGGGACCTGCAGGGCGCTCCTGCATGAGACCTGCGGAGCGTCCCCAGGCCCTTCCGGATCTCCTCGGCGTCACCGCCGAGGCCTGCAGACGAGCGGACGGCGCAAGGTGCAGGGCAATTCCGCTTCAGACCGAGGCCCTCGCCTGAGTGGCAAGGCAGGCCCGTGGGGTGCCGGTCTCTCATGGGTGCGCTTCTTGTAGTGAACAGGAAGGGCCTGCAGGGACCTGTGAGGAGGGGGCTCGAGACGGGAGGGTGAACTGTAGCACCACTGGTGCATCCCGAGTTTACTATGGTCATCCTGCTCCTCCTCTTCCCCGTTTCCCTCTCCCGCTTCCTCTTTTCCTCCTCCCCAGATCCCTGACTGCATTTTTGGTTCTTTTCATGACGTCGACCTCAAAGGTCCCGGTCTCGACCCATTCCCCGGAACCGGCTTCTCGTCCCGAGTCGTTTGAAGGCCGACAAATAGAAAAAACCTCCCGTCATGTTTTTTCACGGCTCGAGGGGGTCTGGGCCCTTTCCTCCTACCACCGTCCTCCTCCTCTTGCTCCGGCGAGGGTCCTCGGGCAGCACCCACTCCCCCAGTTTGTCCATCGCCCACTGGGAGGCGGGCGCTGTCGCGCCCTGGCCCGGGTCGACGGGGGAGAAGCCGAACAAGCCGGCCTCGCTCTCCGCTCCTACCCCTTCGGCTCCTTCCTCCTCCCGCCTCCTCCACCCACCTCTTCCCTCAATGCCCCCTTTCTCTTCCCTTCTCTCTCCTCCCTCCTCCTCCTCCTCCTCCTCCTCCTCCTCCTCCCTCCCTCCCTCCTCCTCCCTCCTCCTCCTCCTCCTCCTCCCTCCTCCTCCTCCCCATCCTCCTCCTCCTCCTCCTCCTCCTCCTCATCCCCCGTTCGCCCCTCTCCTCCCCTTCGCTCTCCTCTCCCTCTTCTGCTGCTGCTCTCCTCCCTCCTCCTCCTCCTCCTCCTTCTCCCCCTCCTCCTCCTCCTCCTCCTCCTCCCGCTCTTCCTTCTCCTCTGCCGCCTCCCCCCTGATCTGGGGAGGGCGATCAGGAATGAGAGGGTAAAAGCAGCAGCAAGCCTCGGCCATGCGCGTGGCTGTCTTCTCGAACACCGACAGCTCCGCACACAGTCTGCCAGGCGCAGAGGCGGTCAGGTTCATCCATACCTGTCAGAGGACACTGTCCGACCCCCGCCTTCTCCGCCTCCTACTCCACTGCGCCATCTGGAGAGAGGGGGGCATCCTCGTCGCCACGGCTGGATGCGACTCGAGATCCTGGTCAGAGCGCTCTCAGGGGAAGGCCCAGGGGGGTCGACTCCGAGGGCCCAGACATCAGGCGCAGTGGCTTTTTCGAACGGTGGACTCTCCGAGGTCTGGGCCCGTTCCCTGGGTCCAGTTCTCCTCCCCGCCTGGAACTAAAGTCCAACAACGCTATGATCTGCATGCGTTACCAGGGCGTGCCATACTTTCTCCATGATGTTCTGTGCTTTACTGGGCTGCGTGCTCTTGCGCGGTCCCTCGGCACCAGACTTCCTCGCAGTGATCGTCATCATCCTGGGACCTCCTGGAGCTTCCTGAGCCTCCTGGGACTGGTGCCTGGGGACTTTTAGGGTTATCTGGAGCCTCCTCCTCTTCCTTCTCGCCCTCACTTATCCCCATTCCTCCTCTTCTTCTTCTTCTTCTTCTTCTTCTTCTTCTGAATCATATGATACCAGAGAAAAAACCCCAATCATAATCTTTTTAGAGCTGTAGGGCTATAGGGCTACAGGGGTATATGGGCTCTTTGGCGCTATATGAGCCATATGGCTATATGGCTATATGGGTTATCGGGCTATAGGGCTATAGGGCGATAGGGATATAGGGCTGCAAGGCTATAGGGCTACAAAGCACCGGGCACCCGGGCATCCGGCACCCGGGCACCCACCTGGGCACGGGGCACCCGTCACCCGGGCACCCGGGCACCCGGGCATCCGGGCACCCGGGCCCGGCCACTGAATCGGCGGCGAACCCGGGCACCCGGGCACCCGGGCACCCGGGCCCGGCCACCGAATCGGCGGCACACCTCACCTACCCTTAAATCCGCTAGGACCCCTACAGAGTCAAGCTCTGATTGGGGAATTATTCCTTTAATTCTTCTTGTTCCTTTAATTCTTCTTCTTCCTAGTCCCTCTTCCTCCTCCGCCTCCTCCTCCTCATTTATCGTACTCTTCCTGCTCATCCTCCTTCTCCCTCCTCCTCCTCCTGCTCCTCCTCCGAGAGAACCCCCAAAGACGTCGGACACCAGTTCTTTCGACGCTTCCATCGTGTTAGGATATCTCTTAGGATAACCTCCTTTTGTAGGAAGCCGCACATCTGTAAGTTCGTTGTGCATTTCATCTTTCTGAACATGTCTGGAGCGACAACTGCATTTTTACATACGAGCTCATAGCACACACATCGACGTATGTGTACACATCTTTGAACACCTTATTTTCATGTCTGAGGTGAGAGCCCCGTTCTTGAAGCACGCCGAAGTCGCAAGCTTTCTGGACATGTCCAAATTCAGAATATTACTGCAACGAAAACAGCATTATTGTTCAATGACGTCGGAACCCACCTGTTTGGCCATCGCAATTTCGGTGAGGATGTCTCATGCGGGAGCCTCATCCTTGAATACGCTTGCAACTTCGCGAAAGAAGTCAAGATCTCAATGACCTGAGGATGTCTCAGACAACAGCTTATCTGTAGAACCAGCGTTGTAAAAACAGCTCCTCCAGCATCCCAAGCCCGTGTGAAGATGTCTCAGGCAAAACGCCACCCCCTCCCCTACACCATGTTGGACATCGGAGGCCCCCTGCTCGACGCCCCCTGCGGTCTCAGATCACAGGCCCGACAACATCAAGAGAACCTTGGGCCCAAACCCTTACCAGGGAAACATTCAATCGCTGTCCGCGGCATGTCTGGGGATAGCTCTGGACGCCATCGCTACCAAACCATGTCAAGCCGTACTGGCAACCGGCGCTTCTTCATGCCCCTCCATCTGGGGGGCAGTCTGCGCATGCATCGATAGCGCGGGCGTCCATAGAGGGTACGGCAACTTCGTGTCATAACGACTTGCGTGTGGGTCTCTGCCACCGCGTGGATTGTTCAACCTTGAGCGATTGCGACTTTCCAGTGGCGCGCGCAATTCGCTCCACGCGGCATGAACTTACCGTAAATGTAGCGGGGGCGCTCATAAAAGAGGGTCGACGCCCCCCTCCGGAGCATGGCGGGCTGCGCCGGACTCCCCGTGGACAGACCACACCTCGGAATCCCTCGGCGCTTTCGTAAAAACTTCCGGCAGGCTCCTGGGCGACGAAGGAGGCTGTCAGGTGACGAGGAGGGGGAGGAGGAGGAGGAGGAGGAGGAGGAGGAGGAAGAGGAGGAGGAGAAGGAGGAGGAGCAGGAGGAGGAGGAGGAGGACCACTGTAAATCCACTACCCATCAATAGTATTGCAATAAATCATCTCTTCGAACTCTCTCTTCATAGGCTCCTCCACGGATCCAATATCACGGAAGGACATGACTCGTTGGAAGGCAAACGTTTGAAACTATAGAATTGTGCCAGGTCACCATTTCTGGGAATTCAGCGTCGCGACTCACCATTACTATTGCGTCTTGACGATCCTGAATCGTGCCAGAACGATGTCCATGGGACTTCATCACCGCGATTCAACGTGACCGCTGCGCCCTGACATTCCGACATCGCGCTGGAACACCAATTCTGGGGCGATGACTATGAGAACCCTTGGGACTGATGCAAATTCGTAAGGCGAGTGCGCGGCGCTAATGCGAGAACCGCATTTTGGAAAAGGAGCCACCCTCCATCCGTGTAGCTCTGAAAACGAGTGTGCGCGGCGTTAAGGCGGGAGCCACATTTTGAAAACCAACCTACCTCCATCCGTGAAGCGCTTACTATCTCTACAGAAACGAATGTACGCGGTGATAACACGAGAACTACATTTCGAAGATGGACCACCCTCAATATGTGAATCTGCTGCACATCACAAAGCTTCAGGGCCATGCAGTGTGAAGAAATACCAAGCGAAGCGCCCTGCCCGCTCGTTCGACCTGCCTCTGAGTGCGACAAGGAGGAATTCTCTATAAGGAAAGGAATGGCGGAGGAGGAGGAGGAGGAGGAGGAGGAGGAGGAGGAGGAGGAGGAAAAGGAGGAGGAAGACGAGGAAAACGAGGAGGAGGAGGAGGAGGAGCATATCGGAACATATCGGAGAGCGCGCCCAGGAGCGCGACGACAACCGCGGGAGCGAGCCTGACCGCGATCAGGCAGAAGATGGAGGCGCTCGCGGGAGCGCGGATCGGCAGGGAATCCCCGCGCAGTCACAGTGCCGTCGACCCTGACGTGAGCCATATAATCGAGGCCGTCCTGTGACGGGTCTAGCTCGTCGGCTGCTGCTACCTCAGAGCTGCTGCACGAAGGATTCGCCGAGGAAGAGCTCCAACCTCGCCCCCTGCAGCGCCACTCGGGTGTCTGCTGCGCGCTCCGAAGGAGACGGGGATCTCCCGCAAGCGCCCGAGGGCCGCTCTCCTCCGCCTCCCCGTCGGCGGCGTCGTTCGCGGTGGCGGCGCCAAGGCTTGGGGCGAAGGGGTGGGGCGCGTCGAAGCGGAGGGGCGTGCGCTTGGGCAAGGAGGCGTCGCCCACCTCCATGGCGCGAGCCACGTCCGACGTGGAGTCCAGGCGCGCGTCGGGAGCATCGGGGTGGTGAAGAGCAGCATGAAGGACAGCTGCGCCCCGAGAAGGCGCTTCCGACGCGCTGGCGCCTGCGAAACTATCGTCCGTCTCCGCGTGGGGCCCGTCGCCCCCGCCGAAAGCCGCTCGCGCGGTCGCCGTCGCGACCGTCAGGATGATCTCGTCTTCGTCGCCGAGGGCCAGCATGCTCTTCTTGAAGCGGATGAGCGCCCGCGCGAACAGCGCGATAGGATTGGCCTGCTCAGCGCGACCGTGCTCTCCGCGCAGCGCGGGGCATCCCCGGTCGCGCGGCTGCTCCGCCGCCTTCCCGTCCTCGTCCTCGGGCGCGTCGGGCGCGTGGGGGCACGGGTCGCGCTCGCCCACCTGTTGCGCGTCCGAGCCGTCTTGGGGGCGACGGCCAGCACCAGCGGCGCCACGAGGAAGTGCGCCAACATCTGGACGAACGTCGGCGTCGTCGCCAGCGCGAGGAACACTATCAGGACGAGAAATGTCCTCGCCAGGATGGGGGGGCGGCCAGGCGGCGAGGGGCGAGGCGTCCAAGCGCTGGGCCTCCGCGTCCAGCTGCGCCGACGGTCGGCGCGGTTCCGCGCGAGGTGGGCTCGGCGCCGCCTCTGCCGAGCCGGGGCCTGCAGAGGCCCGCGCGATGTCCGCCGCGGGCGCGTGGGCGAATCCGCCTGGCGGGACTCGCTGAGCGCGCGGCGCGGCGTTCCGGCGGTGGCCGAGGGCAGCGCGCCCCCGGGCAAACGGCGCCAGCAGCGCCGGCCTCGCCGCCAGCTCGCGGTCCTTCCAGGAGCCAGGCTCGCCGCGAGCCTGCGCGAGGGGCTGGGTGGCAGCCTCGCGGGCGGCTCGGTGCCGCTGTCTCGCCTCGCGACGGGTGGCGGTGGCGCCGAGCGCGGCGATGTCGCGCCGCCCCGCCTGGGCTCCGAAGGCCGCCGCGCTCTCGGGCCGCCCCCCGTCGCCGTTCCCGTTGGGCCCAAAGCCCCGCCCCCCCCTCACTCGCGCCCGCCGCGTTGCCCCGTGAATCTGAGGTCGCAGGGCGCGCCGAGGAAGAATCCGGAAGCGGGGGGCCCGCGGAAAAAGCCCGAGCCAAAACGGCTACGGCAGGAGAAGAAGGAGGGCGAGAAGGAGGAGGAGGATGAGGAGGAAGAGGAGGAGGAGGAGGAGGAGGAGGAGGAGGAGGAGGAGGAGGAGGAGGAGGAGGAGGAGGAGGAGGAGGAGGAAGTCAGACGCCCACAAAGGGAATAATCAGGGGAGAAAGAAAATGGACAAACGGAGGGCGCGCCCACCGACAAAAACATTTTCTTGTTCCCGGGCGGGGGGTGGCGGCCCTGCCTGGGCCCGCCGACGGGCCCCCCCCCGCCCCCGAAAAATCAACCTCGCGCGTCGTCGGGCTCGGCCTCGGGCCCGCCCCAGCGTGCGTGGGCTTCCGAGCGCCGCGCGAGCGCGCGCCCCCCCCCCCCGGGTTCCTCTGCCCCAGCTCGGAACTCGGCACCGAGCGCGGGGGCGCGCAGTCGGAGCGCCATCTGGCGCGGAGAGAGAGAGCGGCTTCGCAAAGGGGTGGAGCCTCGCGCGCCAGCCAGCGCCGCCCTCGGGCGCCGCGCCAAAGTTCGCGGACCAGCGCTCTTTAGGTAGTCGCAGATGGGGCGCGGGGCCCATCGAGGGCGACGCGCGGATCGGAAGGATGCAAAAGGCCTCTCAGACGCCCGCGAGCCGAATGAGCGGCCAAACGCATAGCAGGTCGTGCAAAACAGCCTCCAGGGGCGCCCGCCTCCGAGACCGCATGCTCCGCGTGTTCGTTGACCTCCCGCGGCCTCCTTGGGCCCAAACCGAAGTGCTCGTCCTAGCCCGCCCCAAACCTGGACCTCCTCGGACCCCCCAACCTCTGCCGCCCCCTCGGCCGCGGCAGCGGCAAGGAAGGAATCGGCAGCAGGAGGGCTGGCCCCTTCCGTGACAAGCTTCGCGGCCATCTTAACCGCCAACTTGCATGTTGCGCTGCGACCAGCAGACGCCCCTCGACAAAGTTCGCGGAACTGGCATCCGCTGCAGCTAGGTGGGCGCCGCGCTTGGCGCAGCCATCAGCTCGGCGGTTGCCAAGTCAAACTCCGACAACTTACTGTCCCTGACCTGCGCCATCGAGCGCTGCGCCGCGACGTGGAGGAGGCGGAGGTGGAATGCGGGTAGCGACTCGGAGCAGCTCGCCAACCGAGGCCCCAGATCCTCTGTCTGGAAACTCGGATGCGACGCGCTCCCCCGAAGCCTTCGCCCCGGGGAGCTCGGGCCCCAGTAAGCCGAGGGAAGCCGGCGCTGAAGCTCGACTAGGCAATCCTGGGAGAGGGGGAACTTCTCCCCGCCGGGATCAGAATGGCTGCATCGGCCTCGCAACATGAGGTGACCACCGTCTCGGTCTCAGCGCGGGCCGAAAGGCTCAGAGGCCCTGGGGGAACGAGCGCGAGAGACTTGGTCGTAGGACTGTCGTGCGGGTGCTTGCCATCCCGCGTTCTCTGCGTCTGAGAACGGACTCCGGGGCTCGCGAAGATCTCCGGGCAGCGCTTGCGCAGCGCTCGCCCAGAACGGACCCCTGAACGACGTGCCCCCCGCCGAATGCAAAACATTACTCCCCCCTCCCTCGAAACGGTCTCAACTCTGCAGGTGGCTCCTGGCTGTTCTCGCTGCGCTCCTTTGCTCGGCCAACGCTGTCCTGCCTAGATTGGCCATCGGCGGAAATCAACGCCTCGAACCAACCTCCCCCCTCCCAGCCTTCGCGGCAAAATCCCTGCATGCTCAAAATAAACGAGGGTGCGTGCTTATCCGTCATCCCGTGCGTGAGAGCTCCGAGCTTAGCATGCCGGTCAACGTTCTGGCAGGCTTTCGCCCCCCGCCAAGTCGAGCGCCCAGCTCTTCTAACACGTTGGTCGCACTCCAGAGCAAGGGCTCCGCATGTGGCCTCAAGTGCCCCCCCCGGGCGCGCGCGCGTCGAGACCTCCCTGCGGCGCGTCCAGCGTCGACTTGCAGACAAGGTAGAAATCGAACGGTCCGATGCCCAAGTAGGTCAACATGTAGGAGGCGAGCTCATCTCAGTCTTTTGCCGTCTGCGTGGGCCGACGGAGAAATAGTTGGGCCGTGCGCTGAGCGCAGCAGCGCGCCGAAACGATCCACCAATGCGAACGCCCGCCCTGCTCGACCGACGCCGTGCAGGGGCGGCCGCGTCGCAGAGCGGCCGCTAAGCATGAGGCCCGTGAAGAGAGCCTACTGGCAGGCTTGTTCGCCCCTCTCACCATCGCATCAGGATCTTGAGGGCTCCTGCCTGGGAGCGAAAGACAGCGGGCTCAGAGTGACCCCCCTCGCAAACCGTCCGCCCAACTTTGGCTCTGCGCGCTCGCGAGGCCAACCGCGGTGAGATTCCATCCCTCCCGCGGCCTTCGCGGGCCGCGCGCTCGTAATGGCAGCACCAAAACGTCCCCTTGCGCGCCCGGCAGAGGAAACGCAAGTCCGGCTCGCGCTCGAGGAGGAGGCGGAGGAGCAGGGGGAGGAGGAAGGAGGAGGACGAGGAGGAGGGGGGGGGGGAGGGGGAGGGGGGGATGGGGGGGGGGGGAGGAAGAGGAGCAGGAGGTGGAGGAGGGGGACGAGTAGAGAGTAGGAGGAGGAGGAGGAGGAGGAGGAGGAGGAGGAGGAGGAGGAGGAGGAGGAGGAGGAGGAGGAGGAGGAGGAGACCAGCGTAAGAGAGGTCAGTCCTGCCTGCCTATCGCCGCGGCTGGCGCTGGGGCAAGCGGCCATTGCTGCGCCCAGGCCGCAGCGGGGGCGCATCCGCCGAGGACGCAGGCGGCGTGAGAGAGAGAGAGAGAGTCGGGAGGGAGGAGGAGGAGGAGGAGGAGGAGGAGGAGGAGGAGGAGGAGGAGGAGGAGGAGGAGAGGAGGATGAGGAGGAGGAGGAGGAGGAGGAGGCCACGTCGCTGGCAAGGGCACCCAATCCACCCGCCTAGGCTGCGCGGTCGGCCCCGCCCGCGGCCCTCGCGGGGCCTGTCCTCACCGCCGTGCGGAAGTTGGCCCGGGGCTCGGGGGGGAGGCGGGAACGTTGTCACAGCAGGCCCCGCTGACCACCGCCAGCGCGCCAACGACGGCAGAACCGTCAGAGGGGGGGGCAGCGCACCGCCGCCGCGGGGCACTGCGCAAGTGCTGAACCGCTGCGCCGAGATCGCCATTTCTGGAGCAGGCGAATCCTTGCCCATCTGCCGGGGCGTTCGCTGCAGACGCGCAGCGTCGCCCAGCGAAGCGTCAGCCATAATGGCTTCCGACGCTGGGCGTCTCGAGGCTGATCGAATGCGCCCCGCCGCGCGCAGGGCCAGGCCCTCGGCTGCCGCGGCGAGGGCCTTGCTGCAGTGGCGGGGCTGGGGAATATCAAAGCGCTGAAAATAGCAAGCGCCTGGGGGGCCATGGGGCTGCAAAAAGCGCCCGCCTCCGCCGTGCAGTTCGCCAGTCAGCAGTGTAGCAACGTGGCCGCCATTTCCAGCGCGTGGAAGAATCCGTTCAGAATCCGCAGAGTCGCCGGACAGGCGTTCGCACCCATCGCCGACGCGACGTGCAGCGGCGTCGGGGCGTGCAGCGCCGTCGAGGGACAGGGCCGCTCTGTCGCGAGGTCGTTCAGCAATGCCTCCATCTCGCTCACGCTGCCCACGACCAGAGGGTATCCCTTTTGCTCTGCGCTGTGTCGATTGTGGTCGCCTCGGCGAGGAGAGCAACCTTCCCGCGTCGCGCCAGCGTCCCGTCGGGCGCACTCATCGCCGAAGACTCTACCCTCAGGGTCAGGAGCGCCGTCCCCGCCTGCCATCGTCTCGCCGCTAGCTTCGCCCAGTCGTGCAAGGAATGCATCATCATGCCTGCCGTTGAGGTTATCACTGTCCCGGTGTCCATCGCCAGTATCAGCCAGAAGGGCACCCGCAACGTTGCGACGATTGGACCCTGCAACGTTGGGGGCGCCGTGCATGACCCGACCGCCGTCATCAGCAGCAACGTGGAGAACCTGAAGGTCAAGGCCACCTGGCTGCTCTGCATCGTCCTGTCGTGTACTTCGCCCTCCGTCCACTTCGCGCTCTCTGTCTTTGCTGTCGTCCGCGACGCTACCCGTCCCAGCATGCTTGCAACCGACCCCGCCAGCGGGGCGCATGACGCCGTCGCCTCGCTGAGTCCGACTCGCGCACCTCGGAGAAAGCTTCCATCGGCAAAACAACCCTAAAATGATCGAGCAACACCTCGCGGCATCCGAGCAGCCCGCGGCACGCGCGTGCCGCAGCGAAGATGCCGTAGGGGTCACCGCCACGAAGTCAGGGAAAAAAGACAACGACCTCCTGCGCTCATTGCGCGCCGCCACCTCCGTCACATCCACGAGATACGATTGCAGGCAATCGTCTCCAAGATCACACTTCGGAAAGAAGCGCAAATTTTAATTGTAGCAATTTTCGGTTCCACCTTGAGGTGCTTCAGGTAATGGAAACTGCCGACCTCCAAGCGTGCGGCATGTCCAGGAAGGGCCGCAAGCCGACCCGCAGAGCCTGGGTGGCCATCCCGAGGAGCCGGTGGATCGCCTCGAGCCTCCCGCAGAGTATCGCCATCGTCCTGACCCACATGGCCAGCACCGTGAGAGTCGCCCCCAGCATCCAGTAGAGAACGGTCAGCGTCAGATAGATCGTCGCCGCCGCCACCCCGTGGAGCGCCACCGGCACTAAGCAGAGAGGCATCGCCGTGGACCGAATCAACGCCGCCAGCGCCATGAGGATCGCCGCCGGAATCCAAGAGAGCACAACCGGCGCCAGAACGATTGCTTCCATCGACCTCCTCGAGGTCGCAGGCGAAATCCTTGGCCTGCGCGTGGTGGGCGGGGTCGAACCACGAGGGGGGGATGCCCGAGGGTGAGGGCCGCCACGACCCCTGCGCACTCAGTGCGGCGGCGCAGTGGTCCTCAGGCTCCTACGTAGCAGAGCAAGAGGAACAAAAGTTGATGGACCGCTCCATCTGCTCCAGTTGCTTCAGAATATCCGCGAACTTGTCGTCGCCGTCGGCAGCTGCATCAGCCCAGCATGGACGAGGACCAATAGCATGGCCCCGTCGCACAACATGGTCGAGATCTCCCGCAGGGTCCCGTTCCCCATCGCGGTCCTGATGTCCGGCGTGATCCCGAACTCCAGGACGGTCCTGATCTCCAGCACGGTCCCGATGTCCAGCATGGTCTCGGCTTCCAGCAGGCGTCTAGCAGCCGGCACAGCTTGTCCTCGTAGCGCGTGGTGATGGTGCTTGGCGGCGTCCGCCAGCACCATTGTCGGTGGAGCAACCGCAGGGCCAGCAGGAGTGAGCGCCCTACGACGAAGCGTTCGGAGTGCAGCAGCCCCGTGCGCAAGCCCATCTTTGTCAAGGATGTGGCGGAAGGCCTTGCAGTGGGCCGTGCGCTTCACGCCAACCTTGTCAGCCACATCCGCTTCCAGGAGTGCCCTCCCAGGAGCGCTACGATAAATCGTATGCCCGGTATCCCGCTCGCGGCGGCTTCGTGGAGCGGTGGTGAGCGAGGCCCCACGGCCGAGGCGGCCACCCGGGATGTGCAGCTCGGCAAAGCTGATCTGCGCACGCAACAGCGGCCACGCGGAGCTGGGAGCCGAAAGTGGAGAAGAGGCAGGCCACTCGCATTCAGCAGGCGCCTCCATCACAGCGGGCCCCTCTCGCGGGTGGGCGCGCGCGGCCACGAAGAACCACTCAGTAGGCTCGATAGCTCTTGAGCCAAAATGACGACAGAAGAGGAGGATGAGGAGGAGAGATGACGGTTGGAGCAGGTTGGAGACAGGGGAGAAGGAGCCGTTGGAGGAGGGAGCAGGTGGGGGGGCGAGGAGGGTGTGGGAAGATGGAGAAAGGGCCAGGCAGTTCAAGCAGGTCAAGCAGTCAGGCTCGCCCATCTCCTCTTCCGACTTCCCCATCCTTCTCCTCATCCACCTCCTCCTCCTCATCCTCCCCCTCCTGACTACTCCCCCTCCCCCTCCCCCTCCCCCTCCTCTTCCTCCTCCTCCTCCTCCTCCTCCTCTTCCTCCTCCTCCTCCTCCTCCTCCTCCCCTTCCTCCCCTCCTCCTCCTCCTCCTCCTCCTCCTCTTCCTCTCCCCTTCCCCTCCCCCTCCTCCTCCTCCTCCTCCTCCTCCTCCTCCTCCTCCTCCTGACTCCTCCTACTGTCTCCTCCTCCCTGCCCCTCCTCCTGCTTCTCCTCTTCATCCTGACTACTCATTCACACCTGACTCGGAGCGCCGAACTCCTCGTGGAGCAGGGCAGGCAGCTGCATGCCTACCATCAACGACGTGTTCTCCGCATCCCTCCAGAGGCCAGTGAGCGTGGCCGCGGAGAGGCTGCTGAGACAGCCTGCGGTGCCGTTGCAGTTGGGCTTCCCGTACTCCTCTCGGCGTCGACGATAGGGGCGAATACGTAGCCCAGGGGTGATCAATACATTTATTCGCTGGGGAGCCTCACAGAAGACATGGACCATCGGCACCCCTGGATACTGTTACTCCCCCCCAGGCTGATCGCCCCTACCGTCGCCTCCGATACTTCAGATCTGGGCGTCGTGGCACGAATGCGACAGGCGTGCGTGCCCCGTCGCAGGTCCTGGGGCCCTCACGGGTCGGTCGGGCTCGACAGATGGGGCTGGCAGGTGGGGCCGAGAGCTCTGCTGGTCGCGTTTGGTCCCACGAGGCCGTGCTTTTTCCGCGGCAGCGGGTGGCAATTCCTGAGGCTGCACAGAGACAGCCCCCCGGAGGCAGTCCCAGCCGGCCTCAACAGGCCCCCAGGATCGTCCCGGGCGGTCTCCAGCGGCGCAGCTGGGACACTGCGGAGCGCCCCAGGGGCGCCACCTGCTGCGGCACGGGTGTGTGGAGACTGCCCCAGGCTGCTCGCGGGGCCTGCTGAGGCCAGCGGGGCCTGCGGAGGCCAGCCAGGACTGCCCCAGGGGGGCTACCAGCCCCAGGCGTCGCCCACCCAGGCCTCCGATGCCGTACTGCTTCTCGCCAGTCGCTTCCTGTCGGCCCTGGGGCCCGAGGCCAGCCGTCGGAGAGACCCAGCAAAGCCGAAGAACAAGGCGCCTCCTTTTTCCGATGCGCCAGGCCCTGACATCCGCCAGTCTGTATTTTTCCATCGCGGGGGCCACGGCGGTCCCGACCGCTTCCCGGGAGGTTGCTTGCCGCCCAAGACCCAGACCAACTTCGATGGCCGCCCGAAAACGGCCCCCGAGAGCCGAAATCAAGAAAACGCCGCCGGCTGAACAAAATCAGATCGTCCGAGATCTGGGGGGCTCGGGCCACTGGCGTCGGAGCTGGGGCCTTGGTCAATGCTCTGGGTTGCGCACAGACCGCCCCCCACAGGTAGTCCTGGCTGGCTCCGACAGGCACCCCGAGTAGTCCTGGCTGCCCTCAACAGCCCCCCCCGAGCAGCCCAAGGCGATCGTAACACCTCAAAGCCCCGGGGCGCGGAGCGCCCCAGTGGCGCCACCGGAGGCGGCGTCGGGGTGCTCAGACGGCCCCGGACTACTCGGGGAGCCGGCGGAGGCCAGCTGGGGCTGCTCGGGGGGCTTGTCGAGGCCAGCCGGGGCTACCTGGAGGGCCTGTCCGTGCGCAGCCCGCAGCCTTTTACCGTCGGGGCTCCCAGTTGTCGCTCAGCAGGTACTCGGCCCGGAAGGCGGCCAGCTCGCTGCCCCAGCCGTCCGCCATCGTCCGGTAGCGCACCGCGGCCAGCGCGGACGTGCTGCTCGCCCAGCTGCCCGCGCCGGCTGCGGAGCGCTTGTCGACCGCGTGGGCGATGGCGCCTGCGCCGTCGACGGCCCGGGGGACGCCAGCTGCGCCAGACTGCAGAGAAAGCTATGCGGCAGCGACTGGCTCGAGACGTGGACGTCCCCCGATCGGGTTTCGCTAGAGGGTTCTCATGGTTGTCAGAGAGCACCACAGAAGTCGGGGATCTTCTGACCCGGGTCAATCCAGACCCGGGTCAGTCAGGACTTGCAAGATCCTGCAAGATCCTGCGCCCAAATCGGGGTCAATGCGAGGGATCCTGCAAGATCCTGCAGGATCCTGCACCCAAGCCCGGGTCAATGCGACTCTGGCCCCGCAGGATCCTGCGAGATCGGGTGCTCTGGCTGACCCCCGTTTGCATTGACCCCCGTCTCAAGGCTCCCGGCGAAGAGTCCCACAAGGGGGACCGGGAGCCCTGGATCGCCAGTCCGGCAGCCGTTTGCCCGAGACTTCCTCACAAAATTCGTCAAGGAATCGTGCTCTCGCCAGAGCTTCCGCTGCATATGTTTGGTCCGGACAGCCACGGTCACCGGCAAAACATACGCTAAGGTGAACATGGCCGTGCTCTCACTTCTGTCCCATCTAGCCGGCCTCCTACTTCTCGACCCGCCTCTGCACCTTCGCTGCTATTCGTGTGCTTCGCTGGATGTTTTACTGCTATGCGTGGCCCACCGTTCCGCTGCGGTTGGGGTGCAGCCTCGGATGCTTCGCACTCATTCGCGCCGCAAGAGGACGAACCGAAGCTACAATGCAGCGGCCTGGTGCCCGATATCGAGATTAGATCGAGCTGGCTGACCGCGGGAGCCCGCGCCGTCGATGGCCACGGCGGACGCCAGCTGCGCCCCAAACTTTCCGGGGCGGGCCGCGTCGATGCTGCGCCCAGGATCGGCGCAGCCTTGTTTGGCTGGCTCGGTCGCGGGCACGGGTCCGATGAGTATCGTTTAACCGATCCCCATCCCCAGCGGCGTGGCCTGGGTCCCACTGACCGATTTAGCCCCCCTAGATGGGGATACAGGTCGTTCCCTTCGGGTTTCGAGAGGTGTATCCCCAATTGGGGTGGTAATTTGGTGGGGGCCTCGAAGGGGGATGGGTATGGGGATGGGGATTTGGTTGAACGATACCGATCCGAGGTCGGTGGAGCGGATGCGGGGCGCGCGCGCGCGAGCTGAGGCCACGCGCGGATCGACGCATTCAGTCCGGGCGTTCTATCCCGATCTCGGCGTGCGGGGTGCGCTTCTCTCTCGCCCCTGGGCTATCAAGCACGGGTCCACCTCGCCCATCCTGGCCGTGCCGACCCCTGGGCCGAGGATCGCCGCGCTCTTACCTCGCGGGCGCGGACACGGTCCAACGTCGGTGAATCGGATGTGGGGCGCGCGCGCGAATTGAACTTGTCACTCCCGGGCTCTACCCCGATTTCCAGGGCCATCAGAAATGCATCGGGGACGAAAAGCTGCCTCCTGGGAGGGGGTCGAGACATCTTGAGTCTGTATCACCGATTCTGGCCAGGCGGATCCTGCTTTGACATCTTGCGCCGTGAAACAAACGCGACAAACATTTTTCGGCAATTTTGGCCTCTGGGAGCCCTCAATGGGCCAAGATCGTCAACAAAATGACTGGGAATGGGAAAGCTGGCCCCTGGGAAGGGGTCCAAACCTTTGGGGAACCGCGTCGCGAAACAAACGCGACGTCGGATGTCTGGGTTGGCGAGACTTTGGGCTGGTAGGCCCCAGAGTTAGTCCCGGCTGCTCTCAGCTCGCCAGTGCTGCCTAAGGTGGCGCCCTTGGGGCGCTCCGCGGTGTCCCAAAGGCGCCACTTGAGCAACAACTGCATAAGCAAAAACTTTTGGAGGTCCGCGAGGATTGCTCGGATCCGCGCTGGACCCTAGCGCCGATCCGAGAAATCCGCGCGAAGCTCCAAAAGGCTATGCTCATGGCGTTTTTTTGTTGTTGTTTGTGTTTTTGTTTTTTTCCTCCTTCGGCCAGGAGGGCCCTGGAGCGTCTCTGGGATGCCTGGGGACGTCCGCCTCGCCTCGGGGGCGTCCAAGACGGGGGGCTCGCAGATCATGGCCCGAGGCGTGTGCACGGCCCACGGGGGGGGGGCCAGGACAAGTACCGAACGAAGAGGGGGCCATGAGATCTGGGACATGTCATGGTCCCCGCCATGAGATTCCCCCCCCCCCCCCCCTGCCGGGTGCTTTTGAAGGTGCCCCTGGCCCAGGGTGCCCCCAGCTTTTCGCTCCATCTTGGAGCCCCTGGGGCCCCTGGGCCTCGTGATGGGGTGCTCTGGAGGCCATGGGGACCTCCTTGGAAATCCTGGGGGGCACCTTGGCCCAGGGGCACCTTCAACAACACTCGACCCCGGTCATCACCTCCCGCTCGGCCGCCCCGGACCACCCCTCTTGGACGTGCCACTGCTGGGCCCAAGAGCAGCGCGCATGACTCCCCGGCCATACCGGGAGGGCCGTGCGCACCGCTCCTGGGACCAGGACCCGCCCAGCCAGGATCGGTGAGGCGGGCGGATGGCGCCCCCAGGGGATGGCAAGCTCTACTGGCGCACCCTCGAGTGCAGGGGGGCATCAGGCGAGGAGAACTGCACACGCGCAACGGTTCTGACCAGGCCCGCGCCGAGGGCCCACGACCGCGAGGGCGTGTGCACCGATCCTTGGGCCAGGATCCGTCTGGCCAGGATCGGTGCGGCGGGCGGTCGGCGTCCCCCGGGATGGCAAGCTCCAGCCAGCCGCCCAGCGTGATCTGGATCTAGAGGAGCAAGACGCGGCATGAGCATAAGCTTTCCCAAGGCCTCGCGGACTTCGTGGTGAGTCGGCGCTCCCCGCACCTGCTCTCCGCGCGCCGGGGAAAGTGTGGTCTGGCGCAGGCCCAGGAGATCCGCGCGGACCTTCCAAAGTGTATGCTCTTGCGTTTTCTCTGCTCTTCTGGGATCGAGTCGGGATGCACACCTCTCGCGCCATCCACGGAGGACGTCCAGACCGGCACGAGGCCCTCCAGCGACGGGCGCGGGGGCCGCAGTGCTGCAAACTCGCTCCTGATGTCCCGCTCCAGCTGCGTGCCAGCGACGGCCGCCAGCGCCGCGTCCAGGCCGAAGCGGCGTTGATCCCTCCACGAGTCCTCGAACAGTTTGACGAACGCCGCCGACTTGTTGGCGGGGTCCTCGTAGCTCGTCCTGCGCAATGCGTGGAACTCGCTGTTCTGGTACCACTTGTACTGCGCGCCGGAGAAGTGGAACACCGAGAGCCCCCAGGTGTGCTCCGCATTCTTGCTCAGGAGCCTGCTGAAGTTGCCGAGGCGCCCTGGATCCAGGCACGGGCCCGCCGCCTGGCCCGCGCACGCGGCGCGGTGTCTCTGCGCCGCCCTCGTCTGGGCCAACTTGGCCGGGTCGGACGCGCACCCGAAGATCCACGTGTCCCCCACCTCCCTCTCCACCACTGGCAGCAAGTGCTGGACCCGCTGCAACTCTCCTGCGATCTCCTCGAAGGTGCTGGCGCGGACTTCCGCGCCTGGGGCCAGCTTGGCCAAGCTGTCCCAGACGTCCTGCACCTCCTTGGCAGTCTCTGGCGGGCCCGCGTTGTCGCCGCGCCAATTGTAGGCCACGGCCACGGTGCTGTTCGGCAGGGCCAGCACAACACCGGTATCGCCGTAGTTCCTGGTCCAGAGCACCGGGATTGACTCGCCCGAAGGTGGGGAGACACCCTCGCGCACGTGCGCGTGGGAGCCGGCGGCGCACCGGTCGACCCACAGGAAGGCGGGCGGCACGTTGGCGGGCCACGGGGAGCCATTGTGCCCCTCGCTGAGCAGGTCTATCCCGCTCCTCCGGAGCACGGGGATTGCCGAGCGGTCCATCCCGGGCACGTCCCGCGTGGACACCGCCCTCTTGCGTGGAACCCCAAATAGGTCGTCAAGCTCATGCGTCATGGCAACGGACGCCTCGATCAGAGACGGGTCCATGATCGCCAGCTCGGCGTTCGCGGGGAAGCCCTGCCACCAGATGTCGCCTGCCGTCACGGCCTCCTGGAAAACGGCCAGCTCGTCCTCGCCAGGGCAGTGCAAGCCCAAGCCTGGCGGGCAGCTCACGTACAGACTTACCAGATACGGGTGCGTCATCCAACGGAGCCGCGCCTGGCCGCCAGCCTTGCGCAGCTCCGCCCCGACGGCCGCCGCGCGCGGGAAGTATTCGTCGAAGTAGAGGTCGATCAGGCCTGGCAACATGTCTTTGTACCCCATATCGAGATGGTTGGACTGAAGGACGAGCAGGGTCCGGATGCCTTCGGCGGAACCCTCCCCCGGCATGAAGCACGGCGCTTGCCCGCTGGTCGAGGAGTTGTCCCAACAGCACCCGCGCTCTACGCAGAGCTCCTCGCCGGCAGAAGAGCAAAAGACGGCATAGACATACACTGGGGGAGGTCGGCCCGAATTTCTCAGGTCGGCGCTGTACCTGCCTTCCCAGACCCCTTCCCGCGCCTGGGGCGGCACTGGAGGCGCCGGCAGGGGTATAGGGAGGGGAGTTCAGCGTCAAACCAAGCGATCCGCGCAGACCTCCAGGCATTGCTGCCCGTGCTGCTTTTTGCTCTCCTGGCTGAAGGACCGCGCGGAAGGCCGAAAATTGTTACCAGCGCAGTCCACTCGCCGTCCGACTTTCTTGCAGACGCCTGGGCAGGATCCGCCAGCACCCAATCGCAAATTCGGGTCGAATCGAAGTGTGCGTCGGTCGGATCGGGCAGCATCTGCGAGAAGTCAAAATACAGTGGGAACGGGCGCGCCAAGATCCGCGGCAACGCCCATGCACGTATCGGGCCGCATCGGATAGTCTCTGGACGCTCGAAATGGGCATGGACAACGGTGCGATGCCCAACAGCAATTGTTGTCCCAAATCGGGAGCCGCCGCTGTTGCGCAGGCGCCCTTTTGTCTCAAATGGACCTGAAGCAAGCGGGTCCTGAGGGAATCGGGTCGGGGACCAAGGGGCCTTCCCCGAGGATTTTTATTTTTCATCCCGAGTCGTTTTCAAATAATCCTGGGGCCCGAGGAGGACCCGAGGAAGGCAAAAACGGCGAACAACCTCCAGGACCCACTTGCCTCCTGGCGGCGGTATTTTGGCATCGAATCGGAGCGGCCCGGCCAGAACCTATACCGAATCGGATCGAGATGGACCCAGATATCTGGCGTCATGACCATCTCTTGAGGGCGCATCTTTTGCTTCTGCGGGCCTCCGCCACCCCTCCGCTAACTTTCGCAGGCGGTGGCGGCCCCGTTTTACTTCCGCCGCCTTCCGCCGGCCTTCCGCCCAGGAAGAGATGGCAACTCCTTCGGTCCTCGAAGGCGAGGCCTTTTCTGAAACGCCTCACATGGCTCCCCAGAAATCAGGACCTCTTCTCTGGGACTGTTTTTTCACCTCCATTTCTTTTCACCGCTCCTGGGCCCTGTGAGGGCCCACGGGACGCCGAAAAAAACTACCGAGAAAACATCACGGAAGGTTTTGTTTCATATCCGTTATTCCCCATATCCAAAGGATGGGGTTCTTGTTATTATTCTCCGACCGCGCTGGACCACCTGCCACCCATACCATGATGATGACGATGGTATGGTGAGAGTATGATGTGAGTATGATGGTGATGGTGAATGATGTATGAGTATGATGATGATGAAGAAGAAGATGATGATACTGATGCTGATGCTGATGCTGATGCTGATGATGATGATGATGATGATGATGATGATGATGATGATGATGATGATGACGATGACGATGAGCAGATGATGAGGATGTCTCGAGCGGTTTGCTGGTTTTAGCACTCCTAAAGGGAGGCCGCCAGTGGTATTGCACGGCTTCCGTTCGCGCCCAAATGGAGGGGATGTCTCAGGCGGTTTGCCTGTTTGCATGCTCGACATCCTCGTCTTCGGAGCAGATTTTGTGGATGTCTCGTGCGCAGGGGTATTGCACGGCCTCCGTTCGCGCCCAAATGGCGGGGATGTCTCAAGCGGTTTGCCTGTTTTGGTCCCCGACATCATCCGCTTTCGGAGCAGATTTGGAGGATGTCTCGAGCGAGGCGCTCATTTTCGCCCTCCAGGGGGGGCCAGATTTTGAGGATGTCTCGATCGGTTTGCCTGTTTTGGTGGCCAGACTCGTGGGCACAGATTCTCCCCAGGATGCCACAGGAGGCTCCACCAGGCTTCAGGAGGCCCCAGGAGGCCACATGAGGTCCCAGGAGGCATCAGGAGGCCACAGGAAGATTCAAGAGGCCACAGGATGTCCCAAGAGGCTCCAGGAGGCCCCAGGAAGCTCCAGGAGGCTTTAGGGAGCCACAGGAGGCCCCAGGAGGCCACAGGAAGCGCCAGGAGGCCCAGGCAACAGGATGCCCCGAGAGGCCCCAGGAGCAGGAGGCCTCAGAAGGCAACAGGAGTGGCTCCAATCCCATGTGTTCTACGTATGCTCCTATAGATTGGGCCTCACCTGGAGCACGAATCCTTGATGCTATATGTATGTTTCTATAGATTGCCCTTCTCCTGTGTATACAGTCCTGCATGTTTTACGTCTGTTCCTATAGATAGGGCCCCCCTGGGGCACGAATCCTTGGTGTTTTACGTGTGTTCCTATATATTGCCCTTCTCCTGTGGCTCCAATCCGCAATGTTTTATGTACGTCTGTTCCTATAGATCGGGCTTCTCCTCGGGCACGAATCCTCCCTAGGAGGTCCCAGGAGGCTCCAGGAGGCTCCAGGAGGCCACTCGAGGCTCCAGGAGGCCTCAGGAGGCCACTCGAAGCCCCAAGAGGCCCCAGGAGGCCCCAACAGGCTCCTGGAGGCCCCAGGAAGGCCCAGGAGGTTTCTGGAGGCCCCAGGAGGCCCCAGGCTCATGCGCAGAGACGCGCTCGTACTACTGAGACTCATTCACACTCCAATTCATTCGCAATTAGATTCAAGACCAAACCGTCACAACTCAAGTCCGCTTATATTCGAAATCTCTTGCGCCTAGACTCTCACGGCGGACAGGTCCATGCGAATAGATGCACAAATGGGGAGATCCACACAGTGAATAATTCTTTGACCGCGCCGGACCTCTCTCTTCTCTCCTCCCTCTCTGCACTAGACAATGATGATGATGATGATTGTGATGAGAGTATGATGTGAGGGTGATGGTGATGGTGGATGATGGGTGAGGATGGTGATGATGCTGATGCTGATGCTGATGCTGCTTCTGCTGCTGCTGCTGATGATGAGGATGAGCAGATGGTGATGTCTCGAGCGGTTTGCTGGTTTTAGCACTCCTAGGGGGGGCGGCCAGGGGCCAAAATGGCGGGGATGCCTCGAGCGGTTTGCTTGTTAACCTGTTAGCATGCTCAACGTCCTCGTTTTCGGAACAGATTTTGAGGATGTCTCGTGCGAGGCGCCTCCTAAGGGGGGGCCGCCAGGGGTATTGAACGGCCTCCGTTCGCGCTCAAATGGCGGGGATGTCTCAGGCGGCTTGCCTGTTTTGGTCCCCAACATCCTCCGCTTTCGGAGCAGATTTGGAGGATGTCTCGAGCGAGGTGCTCATTTTCGCCCCCCAGGGGGGCCAGATTTTGAGGATGCCTCGATCGGTTTGCCTGTTTTGGTGGCCAGAATCGTGGGCACAAATTCTCCCCAGGATGCCACAGGAGGCTCCCGCAGGCTTCAGGAGGCCTCAGGAGGCCACATGAGGTCCCAGGAAGCGTCAGGAGGCCACAGGAAGACTCAAGAGGCCACAGGATGTCCCAAGAGGCTCCAGGAGGCCCCAGGAAGCTCCAGGAGGCTTTAGGGAGCCACAGGAGGCCCCAGGAGGAAACAGGAAGCGCCAGGAGGCCCCGCAAGGCAACAGGAGGCCCCGAGAGGCCCCAAGAGCAGGAGGCCTCAGAAGGCAACAGGAGTGGCTCCAATCCCATGTGTTTTACGTATGCTCCTATATATTGGGCCTCACCTGGATCACGAATCCTTGATGCTATACGTATGTTTCTATAGAATGTCCTTCTCCTGTGTATACAATCCTTTTTTTAAACTTTAGTTTCTATAGATAGGGCCTCCCCTGAGGCACGAATCCTTGGTGTTTTACGTGTGTTCCTATATATTGCCCTTCTCCTGTGGCTCCAATCCGCAATGTTTTATGTACGTCTATTCCTATATATTGGGCCTCTCCTGGGGCACGAATTCTCCCTAGGTCCAAGGAGGCTCCAGGAGGCTCCAGGAGGCTCCAGGAGGCCACGCGAGGCTCCAGGAGACCTCAGGAGGCCACTCGAAGCCCCAAGAGGCCCCAGGAGGCCCCAACAGGCTCCTGGAGGCCCCAGGAAGCCCCAGGAGGTTTCTGGAGGCTCCAGGAGGCCCCAGGCTCATGCGCAGAGACGCGCTCGTACTACTGAGACTCATTCACACACCAATTAATTCGCAGTTAGATTCATGACCAGAACGTCACAGTTCAAGCCCGCTTGTATTCGAAAGCTCTTGCGCCTAGACACTCACGGCGGACAGGTCCATGCGAATAGATGCACATATGGGGAGCTCCACGCAGTGAAAAATTCTCATCTCGCGGGACGAGCTGAGGGCGGGGTCCAACGTCGACCCTGGACCTGCCCCAGGGTGCATTCAGAACAAAATTTCGAGGCGGATTCAGCTGTGGCGGCGAGACGCCTCCTGGAGGCCCAGAAAGGTAGAAAAACGTGAAACACCTCGAGCCCCTAAATTCGAGCCTCGAGGGGGCCCCAGGGCCCCGTGAGGGCCCCTGGAAGCCAGACATGGCCAAAGGCCTTCCGTCGTGGTTGTGTCGCGACGCGAGGATGTCATGGGGCTCTGCCTGGGCAGGAGAAGTCGGCATCGAATCGGAGAGTCGCGTCGAATCCATCGGCACGGAACCAAAATCGAATCGGATCGGCTGCGCAAAGTTGCACAACGACGCCGGGTAAACACCGGGCCGCATCGGAGTCGGAACGTCGGAATCCAATCGGGATCGGTCTGGTCGGAATCGGTCTCGATCGGATCGGAACGAGCGACGAACAGAAAAAGAGGTCTTGCGCGAGCCGGCTCCGCGATCTCTCGCGGGCCACCTGCGCGCGAATGTCCGGGCCAGTCCAACCGGTTTTCTCACGCCGCTCCAGCGGGGCCTGGCCTGGGTCGGCGTGTCGGCCGCCCGCGGCGGCCGCGAGCGAGGCCCAGAGCAGCGGCCGCCCCGCCCCGCCCATGGCGCTCCGCGCCGCGGGCCGCGGGCTGCCCGGGGGCCCGGCGAGGTCCCGCGGGCGCAGGTCCTCGGGGAGCGTTTCGGCCGGCGGGGAGACGGCGATTGCCAGCCC